AGGCCTTGCTTACTCACTACACAGTACAGTCTAACATGTATATAAATAAAAAGCAAAATGAACAATGCCAGGAGAATGAATCCAGAAGTCTTCGATATTTGTCCCAGCTTTTTTCTGAAAAGAACAGAAAAGTTCATTAGGAAATCTTTGCTAAATCACTCTGCCCACTAGCCTTTCATTGGCTGGATATTTTCCAAACTGTATCATCTACCAGGATATTCAATTGAACCATGTTAGGAATTGTAGCCTAATGTATCTTGAGGGCATCAAATATAAGCTCATCAAATTCCTGATATATTTTGGGATTTACTGTGATGGAAAGTTAAGCATCAGGCTGAAAGGAGGACTATAGTGGTCTCAAAGAGCAATAATTAGATCACTTTGTGAAAAAGCAGTTAGCTTAAATGTAGCATCAAGCATAGAGAAAGAATGAATCTTAAGAGGGAACCTTTCATTTCCAATCAAAACATTTTAAAGGATAGGGACTTTTCAAATATTTAGAGGGAACAGAAGGGAAATATACTCAAACCAGATGAATTAAATATCTATGATTACAGTCCATATTAGGTAGAATAAGACATACCTGCAACACAAGCTCAGCTTGTCTAGTTTATTCCTTAAAGTCTGGAAGCCATGAGGGGCAAATAACAAAACAGTAAGTGAATAGATTTTCAGGCACATGTATTGCATTAATAACGTATAGTCATTGCCTAAATTACATGATCTTAGCAAATAATTTGATGGTTCAAATTCTGATTACCAAACATACTTTGAGTCATTTAAGTATCTCTCATCCAACTTGGCACTATTAACATGGCACTATTCTCTTAAATATAAATTTTAAAACATGCAATTCTAGATTTCACATATTTACAAGAGGCCCTGTGAAATCTTCACAGATTTTTTTACTTCTAATTCCTCAGAAATTGCTTTTGCATTTCTCAATTTCTCAACTGTTCAAACTGCTTTTATGACCAACCACTATTAATTGAATTTTTCTCCACTGTTCTCTCTATATAAGTAAGCATTGCTCAATCTTTTTAACCAGAAGAACTCAGAAAATAATTTTCAAATATCAGTGAATGCCTAAATAAAATATATGACTTCTACAGCTGGCATTATATGGTGCACAAAGTAATATATATTATTTACCCCTAGCCATCTCGTAGAATTCTATATTATAATCTCGCATGAAATCCTTAGCCATCTCTTGTAGAATCTAAGAAAGGCCGCTCTAAATTAGCTGCTTGTTTGGCTACATTTCTGAATCCCCAGAACAGAAAGGGGATTCTCCATGTCCTCCACAGGATCCATTTACTGATGTATAAATCATTCTTTTGAAAGCCAAATAATGCTGTCTAAAGGTAACGTTTCCATCACTCCTACAGGTTAGAAAAAAGACTCTCCATAAATGTAGGAGCTCCAGTCCTACTTGGGCTTTTGAATTTAAGTTTCAAAAGCAAAAGATGCAGTGTTATATTATACCTCTAGTGAAGAATATATCAGGGAGTTTTTTGTTCCTCATTTTGAGTATTCTCCACACCAAAGATGGGGCACAACAAACCATTCTTATGTTTTTAGTTCAACTCCTAATAAACATAGGCAGCCAAGATGAAAGATACTTAGGCCATCACTGATGAGCAAATGATGGGCCCCCATGTTCCTTATGTGCACCTAATTAGGAATAATTGTGCAAGGTTTTACAAAGGAATTGTTTCCAAATGATGGAAGGACTTAAAAATTTATATTCCAAATTACTATTGAGCACTTGGTAACAAATCAGGAGGAGCCTGGTAGGGATTTTTCTAACATTTTGCATTAAAAGGCATCAGCTTTCATGAGCCGCAGCTCACTTTATCAAGCACTTTTTGATACTCAGAATCTTCCTTTCTCATTCAAACTCTCCTGCCTCTTGTTCGTTTGGGGCTTCAACTATTTTTTATTTAGGTCTACATTTTTAACCTTTTAGTTTAATATAATTAAATCCCAACACTGGATTAAATCTTTTTTTTCCCCTTTGAAATTCATTTTATGCAAACATTTGCTATGACTTTTTTCTTTCCAAGTTGCCCTTTGAACATAGCTTGCTCTTCAGAAATAGAAACAAAATTATTTCCCTTTTGGTTCAACACATAAAGAAAAGAGAGAGATAAAAATCCCAGGAATAATTAAGGTAAAGGTTCCCATCACGCATACATGCTAGTAGTTTCCAGATCTAGGGGGTGGTGTTCATCTCCATTACAAAGCTGAACAGCCAGCACTGTCCAAAGACATCTCCATGGTCATGGGGCCGGCATGACTAAACGCCAAAGGTGCATGGAACCCTGTTACCTTCCCACCAAAGTGATCCCTATTTTTCTACTTGCATTTTTACATGCTTTCAAATTGCTAGGTTGGCAGAAGCTGGGACAAATAACAGGAGCTCACTTTGTTTCACGGTGCTAGAGATTCGAACCACCAAACTGCCGACCTTTCTTGATTGACAAGCTCAGCGCCTTATCCACTGAGCTATTGCATCCTTCAGGAATAATTAGCCCACCCTTAATATAGCTATTTATGTTGGCTGTTCATATACCTGTTTTTCTTGAGAAGAAATTCTTTTGGAAACTGGTACTTTTGTTGTCCATATTTTAGGATTTTCCCCTCCTGTCATATCTTTTAATATTTCGTCCTGCAGACCTTGAACAGATGCTTTAAGCCACTCTTCCACATTTAGATGGGATGTTTCAGGCCCTCCCTCTTGGAACTGATTTAAGGTTATATCAAGCCATTCCTTTACATATGGCATGGATTCTTCAGGACATCCCACCTGAATATTTTGTACAGATTCTTGGAGCCATTCCTCCAGGTTGTTTCTGGCTCCTTCTGAAGACTCTTGCTTGAGTCTTTTCAAAGATGTTTGCAGCCATGCTTGAACACCTGTTCTAGATGCAGTAGAACTATGCTCTCTGGAACTTGCTAAGTTTGCTTGCAGCCATCCATTCCTCAAACTTCTTTCAGATAAAGCAGGCTCTACCTGAATCACTCTCTCCCTGCTGTATTCCAGGCTGGCTTTAGAGGATTGCTTTTTGAAATCCTGAATGCCTTTAATCGATGCTTCAAGCCATTCCTGGGGATCTAGATGTGGTACTTCAGGTCCTTCTGGTTCAAGCTTATTTATAGATATTTCAAGCCATTTTTTGACATCTTGTGCAGCTCCTTCAGGACTTTCCTGTTCCAGGTTTTTCAAGGATTCTTGAAGCCAATTTTCCAGAATTAAGTGGGATGCTTTAGAAGATGACAGACTTTCTAAAGATTTTTGAAGCCACTGTAATATATTTTCCAAAGGTTTTTCAGAACATTGCTTCTTGAGGTCCTCTGTTGATTTTCCAAGCCATCCATTATATATGCTGTCTTCAAATTTTACCTTTGACTTCTTTAGATCCTGAATGTTTTTAATAGATGCTTCAAGATATTCCTGAGTTCCTAAATACAATTCTCCAGGTCCTTCCTCTTCCAGATTCTTTATAGATAGTTCAAGCCAATTTTTAGCATCTTGTTGAAATGCTGCAGGACTTTCCTCTTCCAGATTTTTCAAGGATTCTTCAAGCCATTTCTTCAGAACTGGTCTAGGTTCTTCAGAAACTGAGAGATTTTCCAGGGATCCTTGAAGCCATTGTAATACAATCTCTGCTGGTCCTTCAGAATATTGCTTCTCCAGGTTTTGTATTGATTTTTCAAACCATCCATTTCTTAGGCTATTTTGAAAAGGTATATTAGACTTCTGTAAATCCTGAATGCCTTTAATAGATTCTTTAAGCCATTCCTGAGCATTTAAATGAGATGCTTCAGGTCCATCCTCCTCAAGGTTATTTACAGATGTTGCAAGCCATTCTTTGGCATTTTGATTAGATGTTTCAAGACTTTCCTCTTCTAGGTTTTTCAAGGAGTCTCTAAGCCATTTTTCCAAAACTGGTTCGGGTTCTTTAGAAGATGACAGACTTTCTAAGGATCCTTCAAGCCAATGTAATGTATTTTCTATAGGTACTTCAGAACCTTGCTTCTTCAGGTTTTCTATTGATATTTCAAGCCATTCCTTTTTTAAGCTACCTCGAGATTCCGACTCATATTTCTGAAGATCTTGAATACTTTTAATAGATGCTTCAAGCCATCCCTCCACATTCATTGGGAGTGTTTCCGGCCCTTTTTTTTGAAGATTATTTATGGATATATCCAACCATTCCTTTACATCTTCCCTGGATGCTTCTGGACATTCCTTTTCAAGATTTATCACTGAAGCTTTAAGCCATTCTGACAGGGTGTGTCTTGATATGTTAGAGGAATCTTCTTTCAGGTTTTTTAAAGATTCCTGAAGCCATTCCTGTACATTTTGCCTAGATTCTTTTGAATGTTTGATTTTGAGATTGTCTATGGAAGCTTGAAGCCATTCCCTTTTTAATTCATTTTCCAGCATTTGAGGTTTCATCTTTTCAAGACATTCTTCTGGTTTTTCAACATCTGCCCTTGTTTGCCAGATAGTCACCAAGCATTTTTTGTATTCTTTGCTCACAAGTGATAGTAACTTGTCTCTACACATCAATGACCTACAACAGTCCTTTCTTAGTGCTCTCTCTCTAGAAAAATCAGAAGATTACATATGAATCTTGACCAACAAATATCTAATTTGCTTATTAGACAACTGTGCTCTGGATCTCAAGTTTAGTTTTATTTATTCACTTATATCCTAATTTTCTCCAATGTAAACGAAATGTAAGGTGAACTTTCATATTTTAAACTTCTTAACACTCCTTTTCAAATGATACAGTAATATCATTTTAATTAAAAAACCAATAACAGAGTCTAATCTAGCAAAAAGAAACCAGATGTGATATATGTTTTTCTCCATTCTTTTTTGCTTACAGTACCTGAAAGTCTCCATGTATAATGTTTATTATGTATTGTGGAGCTGAGGAGAATTTAATATGAAATTCTGGAAGGGAAATCAGACTATTTAAAAATGGTCACCTGTTCAGTTTTTCCTCAAACTTTTCACACAATTGCTGCTTCTTCCAACGTAGGCAGCGAATAATATCAGTAAGCTGCTTTTTCTCACAGTGGAACTCTTCTATATCCGTCAGCAGATGAGAAATTATGACTTTCTTTCTGTAAAACATCAATAGTGAATATCAATGAAATATCAATAGTGAAAATAATCCAATTCATTTTTACTTGAATTGATAAGCTTGTTTTTAAATTAAAAAATATTAAACATACCATTTTATATGTTTATTGTTACATATATTTATATATTTTAATTATAACAGATAACAGATAATCAAAGTTGGAAGGGACCTTATAGGTTATCTAGTCCAACCCCCTGCCCAAATGGCAGTCCAATTTCTTCTTGAAAGTCTCAAGTGATGACGCTCTCACAACTTCTGAGGGCAAACTATTCCATTGGTTGATTGTTCTCACTGTCAGAAAGTTTCTCTTTATTTCCAAGTTAAATCACTCCTTGTTCAGTTTCCATCCATTATTCCTTGTCTGGCCTACAGGCGCTTTAGAAAATAGTTTGACCCCTTCCTCTCTATGGCAGCCCCTCAAATATTGGAAGACTGCTATCATGTCTCCCCTGGTCCTTCTCTTCTCTAGCCTAGCCACTGCCCAATTCCTGTAACCATTATTCATGTTTTAGTTTCCAGTCCCCTAATCATCCTGGTTGCTCTTCTCTGTACTTTTTCTAGTCTCAACATCTTTTTTTATAATGTGGTGACCAAAACTAGATGCAGTACTCTAGATGTGGTGTTACTAAGGCTGTATAGAGTAGTATTAGTACCTCACTTGATCTCGATTGTATCCCTCTGTTAATGCAACTTAATTCAGATTTGCTATTTCTATTATAACAGCTAGCGGTCTATCCTATGCTTTATTGATTTATTGGAAAAAATCAGAAATGTTCAGTAAAAATGACAAATCAGTAAATCTTTTCAAATCATGTATTTCCATTATATTCTTTTAATGGATTGGATTAGTTACCTCAGCATTCATCATTATATTTATAAAAGTTGGAGTATTTAAGTACAAGTTAATGATCTTTAGCATTACTTAATCTATTAATACAGGCAAGGATTTTTTATTTTTATTTTACATTTCATAAACGGTGAAACCAATTCAAAAGGCTTTCCAAAAGCAATAAGTTATGAATGAAAGGTATGGAAAAAGTCCTCTCCCAGTTCCCAAATGCCAAAGCATCAAAATATCCCAACAAGTTGCTTTCTGACCGAAAGCCTTTTAGGAAACAAGGACTTTCTGACATCAGATAAAGACAGATCTACATGTTTAAACAGCCAAATGTTTTTCAACAAGTTGAAAGGAGTCACCTCTGATCCCACCCACCCCCACCCCCACCCGCCACCCCCAATGTTCATTTGGGCATTGTAGCCAAGCAGAGAATATTGCATGATAGATGCCCGGGGAAAAATATAAAAAGAATTTAATATGATATTCTGGAAGAGTAAGTCTGGATTGCTCTCTAGAAACTTCTCACCTGTTAAGTTCTTCTTTAAGGTATTTATTGTCTTTCAAGATTTCCTCCTTCTCTACGTCTAGTTTTTCAATCTTGCATCTGAGAGACAAATTCTCTCTTTTCAGTTTGTATACCTGTAATGCTTCATCTGAAATGTTCCTTCTGTAAAATATCAAGGCCAGAGTGAAATTAGCCCATTTAGCTTTTTTACTTGCGCCATCAAACTTGTTTAAAATTAAAAATAATTAAAAATATCTGATACTGTCTTTTGCTATATATATCCTCACATTTTAATTAATTCAGGGATGCTATTTCTAATACATTAGTAATTTCTTCATATAGTTAGCTTTGCTTTAAAGATTTATTGGATATTTTAGAATTGCTCAGTAAAGTGAGAAATGAGTAAATCATTCCGGACTGGAGGTATAACTCTGGTATTATCTTAAAGAATTTGATTAGCTACTTCAGAATTAAGGTTAGCCTCTTTATATTTATAAAGTTAGATTATTTAAGTACAAGCTAATGAGTTTTATTTCAATATTTAGCATTACTTCACTAATTAATACCACTGAGTCTTTAGATGAAAACACATTTTCTTTCTTACATTCTACAAAAGGTACAAATCAATTCAAAACAATTCCCCAAAAACAAAGAGAAGCCATAGATGCAGAATACAGCTCCCAAATGCCAAGCTGTCAATTTAGCATCTTGCTTTCTCATCAGTTAAGACACTATCTTGTCTGGCAAATAGTATAAGTCCACAAATCAAATTTGAAATCATGTGAGAGGCTACATTAAAAATAATAATCAACTATTGCTATTTCTAGATTTTCTTTCAAAGCTTTGCAGTTTTGACTATCACTCTTCTGATGTTAACAGGAAGATGCATGAGAATTAATTTCTGAGGGCTGAAATAGGAGGAAACCGAGAACTGCAGAGTACAAATTACGAAATGCAATCACAGATCTCTTGAGTCATAGATGATTTGGCCCTGAAGATGCCCTGTGAAGAGATTGATGATGACTGATACCCATCTGAGACCAGCTCTCCTTTTTTACTATTGCTTTAATCGAACACAAAGTCTCTGGAAATGAAAGCTTTTTAGGGTATGAGCAGAACTGAGTTGTTTCTGGAGATAAAGAAAGCTTCAGATGCTTGGAAAGCCAAAAATTTTTCAATAAGTTGAAATGAGTCACTTCTTATTTTTGAAAATATCTAATTAAACCCGTAATGTATGTTCAGGAGGAAATACTAAATTGAATTTAATATAAAATTTGAAAGAGAAAGTCAGGATTTCTCTCTGAAAGTTTCTCACCTGTTAAATTACTCTTTAAGATGTTTCTCTTCAGAGCTCTTCCTTCTCTCCATCTAGTTTTTCAACCATGCAACTAAGTTTTAATTTTTTAATTTTTAAAAAATCATTTCTATTTTGATGTGAACAGAAAGACCTTGTCAAATTTACGCTGGTGACCTTCCAAATTCAAAGGACTGCAGCCAAGTCCATTTCATTATTCCAGAATTGCCTTGATTAACCATTCAATTAATATTCAGCTAGAACAAAACCTTGCCAATTATTTTTAGTTGTGAGAAATTAATAATTACCTTATCTTTAGCAGAGATAAGTTCATCCTTATCTCTGCTAAAAAATTTCAACTCTTCAGTTCGAGAGTTATAATTCCCATGAATGTGAAGATATTCTTCATACTCTTGCATTATAATGCATTATAATGCCAAACTCTCCGAAGTTCTATTTCTGATGTTCATTTTTTAATATACAATGACCAATTCCATTGTCAAAGTGGAAAATATGAATATTATGTTCATATTCTACTTACTTAATAGGATTATACAAAGATTTAAAGGAGTGCTTCCATGATGAAGTTCTCACTACCCCATGATAACAACTTCCTGGATGAAGTTTTGATTACTACATAACATATTCACAAAATAAACTAGGTGATCACTAAGAGTCAACACTGACTTGATGGCAGATGATCAATCAAGATAATAAACTACTGATTACAAAATACTTTTCAGAAATCAGAAGATATGTAAAATGTTTGTGGGAGGTGTATGATTTAGAATACTTATGTCCTATGTTTTAATATACAATTATTGGCCATTATTACATGTTATTTTATAATTTATCATCTCATTCAATTGGAATAGATTATATAATTTGGAGTATTCTCTACTCAGATATACAAATAACAATATACAGAGTATTTAAAACAAATAAAATTATTTTTAATCTTACATATTTCAGTAAGACTTATTTGGGAAATTAAATATCTTCCTTCAAAACTCCTGGGACATTAAATAATTCTGTTTCACTTGGGTTTAATCTTGTTATCCCACTATAAATGATTGGCATAAGTTCAACTTTGGCATTTCGTGGATATAAAGCAACATGACACAAAATCCAAGAACTCTGGGCAACTGAAAATATTTTCAGCTATGCCAAAACTTACCTAAAGTCCTGCACTGGAGCATACTTCAGGTGTTCTTCCGGTTTTATCTCCATCAAACTTCTTTCAGTTGTAAGACGATCTTCCTATAATATTAACAAAAAAAACAGTTTAAAAACAAACAAACTTAATTGTCAGCAATTAAGGACACTCATTTTTCAAACAACAGTTTTCTCGTTGACGGGGAGTTAACCAATGTTTCTCCACCCTCAAATCTTAGATGTCAACCAATACCTTGGCTACCTAAATTCTGCAGTTTCCTAAAAGTAGACACCTACTGACTAAAATATTTATTTTGAAATTGCTCTGTCTGTATTGACAATTGACACAATACAAACTGTGTAGCTGCAGTGTATGCTGGCATAATTTGCCTTTTCCTTTTTCATCTCCTCCTTTTTATAGCTGCTGGGATGGAATATTGAACTGCTCATTATTTTGAGATATTTTAGTCATTTTAATAAAGTTGTGTATTCCTTAACTAATTATTTCCTCAACAATACACCCTTTTTCTCCCACAATCACAGAAGCAAAAGGGGAGAAAATCTTATTCTTGATAAGTTCATTTGCAATCTTAAACTGTATCGAGTTGCATTGTAAGTCTTCTTCCAAAGCTCATCAGCAAATCAATATTAGATCACATTGTTCCTTTTCTTTAGATTCGCTTTCTGAAAATGAATAAATCTACAATACTCTGGGTTTAAAGTCATGCCAGGGACTGGAAGTAAACTGATTTCAAAGGAAAATTTGCATTAATAACTAGATGCAGAATTGCAGACTACATTATTAATAAGTGATTTATTTTCTCAACCAGAAAGACATTGATTTATCAGTTATATGATGTTTTCATCTATGCATCTATATCTATTTGTCTGTCTATAATCATCTATCATGAGAAGGGGAAGCGGGGCTTAAGCTAAATATGGTGGGGAGGAAATACTGTTGTCTTGCCCTGTGGGGTTATCTTTACCTCTTTGTGTGCCCAGATCTTGATCTCCGATGGTAGGTCCAGGTCTGGAAATTTCTACATCTTGAGAATATTTTTATGGTTTTGATTCAATTGCTGAAATCTGGCAATTTCCTAGCAAGTGACTATTTGGTCAATTTCAATCCAAAGGTGAACATGGACGAAAATGTTTTAGGAGTCTTTTGTTTTATTGCTTAGGGTTTAGGCTGGTTAGTGAAGGTGAGTGGTTTGGGTGGCAAGGGTTGTGGGGACTTTGCCTTCTCACATTATCACAGGTTGCACTATTTGTATCATATTAACAACATTAAATTGTTATTAACAGTGAAAACAGCTTGTTTAAGGCCATGCAATAAATCCATGATAACACTGGAGTATGAACCCATATATTACTCAAACACCAAAATGGGTTGTTTATCATATATGGCTAAACCAGCAATTTTATCTTATTTTGTTGCAACAAGCTTTAATCCTAGAAACAAGAAATAGGAGCAGATCTCCTAAACAGATTCAAAGTCAAATAAATACGTGGATTAGTTACAATCACTCTGTTCCTGAGTTGAGGCCTGATCTGTTACAGTTCCATGAAAAATGGAATAAAATGAGGAAGCCTAGTACTGCCCCACTGATTTTCAGTGTTGGGATTTGTAGTCATTCGAAGCTTCCTTCTGTCTCCCAAAATGCTTTTTGGAAAAAAGAGCTAAAAATTTCAATATCTGTGTGAGGCCCTCTGATCTTTGCAAAGGCCACTTTTGCAGGAAACAATGCGAACAGAATATATCCTCCAAAAGTGAAATGTATTTTCTTTCTTAAAACTAATCAGTCCTATATGAAATATCACTGCATTTCTCAGTTATGTGTACTCAAAAGATAAATTGCCTACCAGGTGGTGACATTTGGTAGAGCAGGAATCATGGCATGCCACTTCCTGCTGGATCACATGTGTTGTAATGTCTTCCTGATGTCTGGAAAACTGATAGTTGTGTGATCTCGAAGTATGTAGCTTAAAAGCAATTACAGTAATAAAAATTAATAAAATATGCTATAAAGCATATTTTTACAAAAAAGTTCATTTTTTTGTAAGTAGATTCTGCATCTCTAAGCCATTTCATTATCATTGTTGATGTCATTGTTATCACACACCCATACACACATACACAAAGGTACATCGGATTTATCATATCAGATTTATCTCCTCTGTCACTTTCCTGGTGGCATCAAGAATAACCAACCAGACTTGAAATGAGATCAACTCAATGGAGTCTATAAATTAAATGTCTCAGGTAAATTTGTTTAAGCTGAATAGTGTGGACATGCTATGTAAATTGATTGATTGATTCAGTTTGCATAGGATGCATTTCAAACCAATGAGTGGCAAGCAACTATAAAACCAATGAAAACGTAACATTAATTGTGAGGTTATGTTTGCATGACACTTTTCCTTCATTAAGAAGTATTTGTTCAAGGAGAAATATTTCATAGTTATGAGAACAATTACTTAATTCTGTTTTCCATAAACTTCTATATGATGTCAGCACAGAAGATGATGTTAGTCTATACTCTGTACTCCGAGGTGCAGAAAAGCATATGTGTGCATCATTTACATCTGTGCGTGTCAATATATGTACACCCTTGGGCAACTCTTAATTGATTGCTCTAGATGGACATTAGGGGCAAAAAAGTTGATTCACCCTGAGGTGGAAAAAGAAGAATTTATGATGAACTGTACTGCTGTGACCTAAACTTTTGAAAGAGGAGAACATTGGATGACATCATGGAGTGCCCTTAAAGCAATCAGCCTTTGGAAGGAGTGCTGGTTATGGTACCCTGAGTGATCCAAATTGGGTGAGTGGATGCAACTTATCCATTAGCCTTCCCCATTATGGAAGCAAGGAAAGCTGTTAGAAGTGTTGGGGGAAATAAAGTAAAGAAAGTATGTGGGGGGGGGAGATAAGTAATCAAAGGACGAGAATCAAAGGAGGAGGGAAAGAAGAGGGGATTTTTTAAAAAAAAAAGTTCCTAAAGATGGAGAAACAACAAAGATCCTAAGCTGGTTTTGTTAGACCCTGGAATTGAAATTTCTGTTATTTAATTATTTCTTTTAGGCAGAAAGCAAACAGACTTTTGACTGGGAGGCTTCAGTTCCAGAGGGAAGAGACATACATATTAGCGCATAGGCAAAGACCATTAGGTCCCCTGTAATCCCCCAAGAAACAATATCCATTCCCAAAGACTTTTGAAATGGGGGTTATAGACATTTTAGCAACTTAGAAAAGGAAGGTATTCCAAATAAATAAATAAACCTCGTTAGTAGCCCCCTAATTACTCTCAAAACAGATGAGATTTCAGAGCATTTATCCAAGCCTGAACTGTTTTATGCCTCCATTCTTGAACAAAGCACACAGAAGGTTTTGGACCTCATCCCCCCTTTAATTTCTTTATCCCCAGATCAGGAAGTTTGGTTTATTAATGGGGCATCACAGTGGGAGGAACGGATATGACAGATCTCTTAGATAGCCGTTTCTATCACAAGCTTAAAATTATGCGCTGCTTTACTAAATTATTATAATGCACAAGAGGCAGAATTAATGGCTGCCTAACACTTACTGCAATTACACAACAGATAAAGAGGGGGAAAGCATCTGCATAGTCACAGTCAGTGAGTATTGGCATTGCCCATTAAAATACTAGGAAGTGTCAGCTTTAGGCAAATTGGTAAAAGATACAGAAATAAGGCAGGATTTGTGTAGTACCTGTCAGTAAACCTGAAAAACTCCATATACTTGAATAAGGCTCACTCTGGTTTAATAATTGGCCTTCTGCAGAGAAGCAGAGATAGATGCTGATACAAAAGAAGATGCCCAACAGGTACCTGCACCAAGTGACCAGTGACAAAAATAAGGAGGAAAGGGGACTACACATTAAAAAAATGCATTCCATTTTAACACCTTGAAGATGAACATTGTTTTGATTTGCAAATAAATAATCTAATCAAAAGGACTAATATGATATACCTCAATACGTCTCCTTGCTTCTATTAAAGTTGTTGTTGATGATGAACCGTTAGATAGTTCTTTCTGCAACATTAACCAAAATGCTGTTTTAAAAAGACAAACTTACTGTCAGCAATTAAAGACACTAAATTTTCAAACAATGGGAGTGAGATGATGCTAACCATTGCTTTCTATTCTCAAATCTTATGTGCCAGCTGATACCACTGGAATCTAAATTCTGCACCCTCACTCCTTAAATAATTATTGTTTTCCATTATGGGCTTTTTCTCTCACAATCACAGAAGTAGAGAGGAGAAAATCTTATTCATGCTGAATTCATTTGCAATATTAAAACTGAAGTTCAACAAGCTCTAACTTGGACTTGAACATTGGACTTATTATTAAATCTACCTTGTTCCAGTTTTTTATTTGAACTACACTTAACCAGCAATATATAGTGACTAACATATGATCCATAGGAGGGAAAAATCTAAAATCTATGAAATGAACAAGTGTAATATATGTACAAATTTACCTCGTATCCAAAACATCTTCATATTATGGTCACAACTTTATGAAATTTAGATCAGTTTTATCATTTCTCTCAATAGCGATAAATTGTAAAATACACCCAAATTTTATAGAATTGTATCTCCTGCCTCTGATTTCATTATTTTATTTTATTATTATTTTTCTGGGGTAGCAATCAGAGAAGATGTATTAATCCACTTCTCAATTGCTTCTTTGACTAATTACTAGTTCAGCTGCTAGTTAAATCAACTATTTTTAAGCTTGAGATTTAATCCTTTAATTCAATGCAGCAAACTTAAATCCGGGAAGCACAGAATTCTTTCTTTACTCTTGCTACTTCTCTCCCCAAGCATTTTATGCCCAAAGCATATTGTTTTTTCACATGACCACCATAAGTGAAAGAAACACCCTTGTTTTGATAAACTGACCAACAGTTCCAAGAATAATTCAATATACCTATGCCAACCTAACTGGAGTCAAGTGTATAATTTTTCACTGCTCTTCTTGCACTGAAAATGAAGTTAATCCACCCAAATCCCATAATTCCTGCCAATATATTTGTTGTGGCCTGCCGGTGGCTGATGGAGTTGACAGCAGAGTCGGACAGCGAAGAAGTTGGGGAGGAACCTGGGCCAGTCTTGGAAGCTGAGGAAGGCTCGGACGAGGGCTCTGCATCAGAGGCAGAGATGGGGCCAGGGCAGGCTGGCAGTCATCAGCTGCCTTCGGGCTTGGACAGCAGTGAGGCGGGGGAGCTTCTGGAACCGGTTTCCAGCCTGTGCATGCGCAGAACTGCCAAAAGGAAGGAACAATTAAGAACTCGGGGTCGACATGGGAGAATGGCCCTTCCCATAAAGATTAAAAGAGGAGCAAAAGGGGAGGGGGCTTTTAGTAGGAAACAATTCGTTCATTTGTTTGTTTGTTCCAGCCTTATGAAGATCTATGTGTTTAACTTAGAGGCTCTATGCCAACTTAGAGGCTCTATGTGTCACACAGCATGTGGAAATATTTACTGGGAAGCTTTCCAAGGTAGATAAGGTTTGAGCTAATAATTATACTTTTGCAAGACTGTTTGCCAGGCCATTGGCTGAATGTGAATGCAATACATTCACATTCATTTAATAAAAGAGGTTTTGCCAGGACACAGAGTTGCTTAGTGTTTTTTGGGGAAGCCTAGGACAGAACATTATTTCCCAGAATATATTGATCCTTTCCCCACCCAAGCAAGATTGGATGAAACCTCCATATTTCAATGGAACATCTAACATTGGATTATTACTCTGATTTTCACTATGTTCTTTATAAATAAAGAACTTTTCTGAAATACAAAAGGATTAAAGGGGATACAATCTTGAGTAAAGAGCAATGGGGCAGAAGAAAGCCCTTCTACTATAGCCTCAAACAGCAAAAATGTGGATGAGTTCTTGAACTACAGGTAGTCCCTTGACTTACAACACTTCATTTAGTTAAGTTATAATGGCACTGAAAAGAGACATGACCATTTTTCACAGTTACAATCTTTGTAGCATCTCCATGAACATGTGATTAAAATTCAGGTGTTTGGCAACTGATTCATATTTATGACCATTTTATGTTTGAAGGCCACGTAATCAACTTTTGCAATCTTTTAACAAGCAAAGTCAATGGGAAAGCCAGATTCACTTAACAACTGAATTACTAACATCAATTGCAATGATTCACTTAATACCTGTGGCAAGAAAATTCGTAAAATGGGACAAAATTCATTTAACAAATATTTCACTTAACAACATACGTTTTGGGCTCAGTTGTGGTCATAGGTCAAGGATTAACTGTATTCTAGTTATTCTTTCTCTATGTGCATGCTTTCTCTATCACTGTGCATGTTTTAAAATATTTCAAGGGCATCTCTCCTTTCACAATTTATAATACTTTAATCAGTACTAGATTAGCTTGGAGTGCCCCCAAAATGAGGGATTATTTTGTCTTTTCATTTTAAGTGGACAGTGCAGAAAAATGAATATCACTCATTCTGTGGTCATGTAAACTCTCCACTTGCAACTCTGGCCTATTAAATTTGTTAAATCAATGTTTACAGTGATGTAAGGGCTTGAAAAGCATTGATCCATTGATCCAATTCATATAGCTGCCCAACGTCCGATAGAGATTCTGGGTAGTTTTTCTTCCCCTCAGTCCAGCCTTTTTTGATTCTGGAAGTCCCTGAAGTTTTATTTCCAAGGTTTTAACAATCATCTATTATCAATCTGTCTGCCTGCCTGCCTATCCGTTCATTTACGCATCCATCTACTTATCCATACATCTATCTGTATCAAATTTCTATATCAGCCATCATACTTGTCTGACAATAGCATTTAGTGTGGTCCACAAACAAGATGACTTGTTATACCTCATCTTGGAGACGCATCATGAAATTTCTCATTCTCCTCTTAAACTCGCCCTCCATCACACAGTTGTGACAATTGGCAACTAGAATAAAAGTTAATAGGTGAGAATGCAGAATAGCATTAACATTTTTAAAAAAATCAGAATATAAGATTGCAAGACTATCTGGTATAGCATATTGTATAGTATTTAAAATGCATTTGCTCTCTAGTTCTTCTAATCTGAATGATCCTTTAGGATAACTGTTGAACTGCCAAAGAATGTTCCTGTCCTAAAGGAACTAGAGCAGAGGTCTCCAAACTTGGCATAGCTGGCTGAGGAATTCTGGGAAATGAAGTCCACAAGTCTTAAAGTTGCCAAGTTTGAGGACCTCTGAACTAGAGGAATAGCCACAATAATGAAAAATATGTATACATGAAATAGATGCTTTCATGTATTTTCTAAAGATAGAGAGTGATAGCTGAATAGTCTGGAAATGATGCAGGAAATCTTACATTTGCCTAATAGATTTGTCTCAAAAAGCGGCACATCTGGTTCCTCCTGCAGATTTCAGTATCTGCAGAAACACATTCGCCTAAGTAGCCAGGTTCTAAGATTTTTAAAACAAAGAATTCCCATATGGCTCATTTAATAACCAAGGGAAACATAGTGAGATTTCTGGAGAGCACCAGGTTGCCCATTCTATCAAGGAGTTCTTACTTTCCTTTTTTAAAAAAACTAATTATTTGATATTTGTTTTCCAACTGGTAGGATGCCAGGAGACCTAAGCTATTTTTCAATATCCTATAACTGACATGGATAATTTTTGATGGGCGAGCCAGGACAGTTTCACCCCAGGACAGTTTCTCCTATTAATTCCATCAGTTAATTTGTCTGTAGAAGCCATAACCTATATTGCAGTAAAAGCATTATCTAAATCATACTGAATTTCATTGGACTCAAATGCCAAGAAGGCTTAATTATTTTGGACTGAAACTGAGGGGAAAAAAAGTAATAGCTCTTCTCAGTTGAAAACGTTAATTGATTTTCTTCACTGCATAGATAATACAACCCTGAATTATCTATAATGATCTATATCAGAAGTGTTAAACTCAAGGTGCTTAGATCTGGACTGCAGGGATGGCCTGGAAACAGTGAAGGACTGGCCTGCAGTGCCTCTGCCAGTAAAAATGGAGCTGGGGAGGCCACACATGGCCCACATGAGTTCCATTTTCAGCTGCCACAGCATCCTGCAACCCTCTGACAGCAAAAATGGAGCTTGGGAGAGTGATGTTGAGCTGGCCATGCCCCCTGGCCATGGCCTCCCAGCCCCCCCAAGGTCAAACACGACCCTAACCCTAACCCTAAACGAAGTTGAGTTTGATACACCTAGTATTTGGCCATGAATATCCCAAAGGTGCTTTTTTCAAAAGGCAATTGGACTTGCTAGTTTTTTTTTCCCCTTTGAAAACATTTTGCTTCCCAGCCAAAAAGGGTTTTCAGGATAAGAAACAAAAAGGTTTTCAAAGAAAAACAAAACCAAGAAAATGCAATTGCTTTTTGGAAAAAAAGCACCTTTGAGACAACCATGGCATGGATTATTGAGAATCTCAACAGACAGTTGGCCATGAATATTCTGCGAGATGAGTTTTTAGAACCTAAAGCCTTTTTTTTCTCTTACATACCATCATAGAAACAAGTCAATTCAAAACAATTTTAGAAGTAAAGTTTTGGATGCGGTGTGTGGGAAAGGTTTTTACTTTCCCCCCTAGTGCTAATTTGTAAAGGTAGCCCAACAAGTTGCTTTCCCAGAGTTTAGGGCATTACCTTGTTTGTTTAGTCACATGAGATCAGAACTGTGTAAAGTTTTCAATTATGATGAGAGGCTTCATATGAAAAGCAAACTCAACTATTGCTATTCCCTATTTTTTTCTAAGCTTTACCACAACTAGGGGTCAATGAACAGCAGGAATCTTCCTAGCATTCAAATTCAAATTGTAGAATTTATCTGCATTGAAGATGGAGATTGGGAGCTGGAATTCTATAGATATCCTCTAAAGCAGGGGTTCCCAAATTTGGCAACTTTAAGACTTGTGGATTTCAACTTCCAGAATTCCTCAGCCTGAGAGTTGAAATCCACAAGTCTTAAAGTTGCCAAGTTTGGAGACCTCTGCTCTAAAGGGTCTCACATCCCTGATTTGGATGTGAAAAATAGTGAAAACAAAAATCTATTGAAATCTTGTTGAGCTGCAATGCAGATTCCCAGCCTTTCTCATCTTTATTTGAATGAATACTTCTATCATTATTATGAGAGAGAGGAAAACCAAGGGAAGTAAAGAGAAGGAATATTTAGGTTTCCTATGTCTTTAATGAGAGAAATTAAATTTTACTTTGATTAAACTTTTAGTTAATTTTAAATGTCCCCTAGACAACCTGCTGGGTCATCCTCTCAGAGGTGTTTCCTTACCAGGATCCTCGATGCATAAAAACAAGGACAGAACTCCTAGAGTGTTGCCTGACCTGAAAACCTAGGCATTCATGCAGACATAGTCCTTGGTGAGCAACATTATATAACACAGATAAATGTCATCACAGGAAATGTTTTGTATTATGTCATAATCTCTTATCTAGCTGTGTAGGAATGCCTGGAGTCCATCCTCATATACTCCATAGCAAGGATGTACCTTTGGTTATAAAGGGTTTCAAACTAAAAGAGAGAGCCTGGCCTCAGATGTCTCAAGGAAAAGTCTGTTTAACAAAAAAAGAGAAAAAAAGGGGGAGGTCTTTGGAGGAGAAAGATAAAGAGAAGTTCCTCAAATACGATACTCCAATGAGAACAGAGTACACAAATTGTCCTTAAAAGTGCTAAATGACTTGGGGGGTAAGGAGCAGACAAAGAGAGAGAAGAAAATCAAGCTCAGTGATCCACATGATCCTTTTAACCTTTGACAGAGCTCTTCAAAGATCATCTCCAGTGGCTGCAACAAACACTGCAATCTCCATAGTTCCAGGATGGAAAGTCTCTGTTCCCTCCTTATAAACCACCTGTGGAAAGGAAGCAGCGAGAGAAAAAGGAGCAGGAAAGGGAATGTATTTCTTTCATTCCAATAAAGAATTCCTGATCAAAATCTTTGGTGTCATCTTAGGATCTAGCACAATCACAGGATATATAGATCAGGGGAGTCAAACACGTGATGACACATCATGTGACATATTGCAACTTTTTCCCCTTTGCTAAACCAGGGTGAACATGGAAAAAAGATCAGAAGACAGTCATGGTAATAGTTATAGTGGTGCCAAATGACAGCAACATCAGGAAGTAGAAGAAATTGGAAAAGTACCAGGCCTTGCAGGAGGAACTGGACAGGATATGGAAAGTAAAATCAGCAGTGGTAGGTGCACTCAAGGTAGTGACTGAAAAGAGTGGCTCCAACAGATTCCAGGAACGATATCAGAATATTTCTATGCTTGGATGTTTCCAAGTAAAAAAAAAAAAAGCTTAAAGGGGATAATTTCACTCTGCTCGATATTTCACAGAATGACAATTTGTCAGACAGATAAGAATATAAATGTTTTGAAGAAAAACTGAGATAAGAAATATTTAGTTGACTCAGACCCAAGAGGATGACACACTAGCAGATTCTGAAATAAGCTCCCAGCTTGTAACAGGCCTCTCCGCTTCTTACTTACCTCAACACTCCCAACACCCCAAACTGCTAAGAGCAAGAAAAGGATCAAAAGTACCCCACTCCCCAAATTACTGGAACCCAAATATCTAACAAGATGGAAAAGCAGATGAGGACTTACTCATCTCCCCAATGGCAGGAGCAACTAAAGCTTTTCTTGCTATGATAAAACTGATCAAATTTTCCTTCAATACATTTGATAGTGAATTATATATTTCATAATTAATATTAGGTGGCAATTATTTCCTATATCCTATAGGTTGTCTGTTGTTTATACTCTATAAAACATAATAAGCTATTATTGATAATTGTTGTTGGATTATAATTATGTTTTTACAAATATATTCTATCTATTGCATAATCAAAAAGCGAGATCTAGAACTAACATTTGTAAATTCCTGTCTTTTAATAAATGTATCGTAATATGTTTTGTAGACTCATTTTTCTCCCTTAGTTCCCGCTTTCTTTCTTTTTTTTTGTGCTCTAGCCAATCATACCATTTATCCCAAATCAAATAAAATTCCGAGTCATCCTTTTAATTTTAATGTGAGCTTCTCCATTTCAGCGCATTCATAAATTTTTTGAATGACAAAATGTATTGGTGGTGTATTAGGCATTTTCCAGTATTGTACCAGTGAGATTCGTGCCGCTGTTAATATATGAATAATCAAATACTTTACTTGGAGGAATAACCTCCTTTGATAATGCCCAAGGAGGTACAATTTAGGGTCCTACTACAATAGAATAGAATAGATATAGAATAAAATAGAATGGAATAGAATAGAATACTTTATTGGCCAAGTGTGATTGGACACACAAGGAATTTGTCTTGGTGTAAATACTCTTAGTATACATAAAGAAAATACATATTCATTAAAAATCAAGAATCATAACGTACTACACTTAATGTAGCACAACTATTAATATATTTTAGTGTATGTCATTCTATACACTATATTTACAAAATTATGAAATTTCTATATTTTGGTTGAAACCAGAATTGCTTTTTAAAAATTTACAGGAACTTGAGTTCAGTTAAGATTTGAATATTGGACTTGCACATTATATCAGAAAGTCTGATTCAAACAAAAAAGACGATAAAGATAGTCCACTTTTGCACAGGCATTGGAGAAATTACTTAGGGGGTATCTGATTTAGGATTGGTTTCAGCTGCTTGATGGTTGAGATACATTTATGAGATGTTATAATGTGATGTTACAATTTTGGGGATTACTCTATTTTGGGATTACTCTTTCATTGCTTTTAGTGTGTTGTCAAGTCTCAGACAGAGGCAACATATAAATAATTAATATGTGCAAATTTATGTGATATTAGAACTACATACTTTCATAGCACTGAATGAAAAATTATTAGCCCACCTTCTTTAGTCTATTAAGAATTAAGATTGCTGTGGTGTTCATTGAATTATCCGTATCTATTTTTGGTATTTTTTGTAGCGTTGGGCCAAAAATGGTTTCTTCAGTATTAGGCTCTCTTCCCAAAAGGGCAAGTTTATTATCTTCATCTCGTCTCCTCTTTCATTCCTGAAGTTGAGCAGTTTGGGGCATCAATCTTCCAAGATCTTCATCACATGGATCCTTTTTTTCTACATTCCAGCAAGCCAATGTGTTATGTACTCTTTGCTGTTATTTCTTATCCATTCTTATCATTTGGCAAAAGCAGGCTGATTTTGTAGCACAGTGGTGAGAATAGTGGGTGCTACTAAGAGACTCTGGAAATGCTGTTCTGAAGGAGATGTAATATGTTTCTATAATAATGTGCAACAGGAAGATGGATGGGGTCCTGTGTATATGTTGCTGGATTCCATTTGCTAATGGCTGTCTTAGATGTCCTTGAACCACAATTCAACTGCATGATCTTTGAAGAATGTATACGACAATCCTGTTTTGTCTCCAGTGACTGATCTTAAAACACAAAAAAACCAATGTATTATGTTAGTGCATAGTAAACTAAGGCATTTTCAGAGTGAACTTTAATTTTGTTTATAATTTATCGTGGTAGAAAACAGAGAGCAGGATTTATTTGATGAAAAGTGAGAAAAATTGTTTCAATGTATTATCTGACAGTTACAGAAAAATCCCCTCCAAACCATCTTTGTTCTATGTCTTGGGTATGATGATTCTATATACATTTTCAAAGGATTGAATTATTCCAATAAATTACATAAATGTCCACCATTCTGGGTTTATTTTTTGAAGTTATGTAAAAATGTACAATGAATAATAAGCAAAAGAAATTAAATGCATGAACTAAGAAAAAAAAAAAGAAAATTCATTATATCTAACTCAAAGTAAATCATGTAGACCCGAGGTGTCAAACTCAATTTTATTGAGCGCCGCATCAAGGTTGTGTTAGTGGGGGGGCATGGTGGAGGGGGGGCATGGTGGAGGGGGGGCATGGTGAGCATGGCCAGCTCAACGTCACTCATGTCAGGGGTTCCTGTGCTGGCCTAAGTGCTCTGACAGTGAAAACAGAGCTTGGGAGAGCTACACAAGGCCCTCCAGAACCCCGTTTTCACTGGCAGAGGATTGCAGGAGGCCATCACAGCTGAAAATGGAGCTCAGCCCTCCCAAGCTCCATTTTTGCTGACAGGCACTGCAGGCTGGTGTTTCGCTGTTTCCAGGGCAGCCCCGCGGGCCAGATCTAAGCACCCCATGTGCCAGATTCAGCCCGCAGGTCTTGAGTTTGATACCCTGCTGTAGACACTCAGTGTTTTTTGTTTGCTCCCAACCTTTTTTTTTTTTCATGCCAACCTATTTAGAGTGGAAATAAATTCTTAAGGAGAGTATAAAAGCAAAAATATAACTTTTTAAACAGTAAATATAAAGTTCTCATTGAGGTGAGTTTTGTTTCTGATAACACTTTTGAAAAATTAATACTGGATTATTGAGGAAATTACAAACGTTGTTTGCTCTTGCCATTTATTGATTAAAAATAATAAAAGACGCAAACCTTTGCAATTGATTGCTTTTGCTATATGTTTTCGTCTGTCTCTGGTTTCTTGTGTACTTTCAAATTCTGGATATAACATATATATAGCAAACTGCCAAAGAAATTCTGCTCATCCAGTTTTCTTTTGGTTGCCCTAAAAGAGAGAAGGTGTGTTACTCAATGTTAAAAATATCTCAATCTTGTTGAAATTAAGTTCTCTTTAAGTCCAGTAAGTTCAGTTTTGACATTTTAAAGATAATTGTTGTGGTCTACATAAAATCGACATCTGAAAGAAGTTTCAATATGAAACAAATAGGGATTGTAGGCACAATAAAAGTAACATTTACTACTTTGCGCTCTGTATTTTTAAAAACTTGATTAGGTACACTTTAGTAAATTCTTCTGATGGATAACCATTTAGTGAATTATATTCCTTGATAATACCATTTAATGCAAAACGTTCAATTAATTCCGTAACTCCCAATGTAGGAAACCTTGGATTAACAAATATTGAGACTCTAAATTGACAGTACAAATCTGACAAACGAAATAACTAATAATACTTTAATATATGTAGAGGAGCCATTTTGAAATTGTTTACAGTAATATAACAATTTTAGAGGAATGTGTCAGACATTTGGTATTTTATCATTAATAATCAAGTTCATCTATGGTAGTCCTCTACCTATGAACACAATTGGGATCAGAATTTCCTTTGCAAAGTATGGCAGTTTCTAAGTTAATTGCATCTGATTTTATTACCTTTTTTGCTATGGTTGTTTACAAATGTTAAATGAATCGTGTGGTCATTAATGCAAAATCTGACAGAAGCTGGCTGTGATCGCAAATGCTAATCACTGACTCTGGAAAGCAGCAACCATCATTAATATATGCCAGTTTTCAAGCATCCAAATTTTGATCATGTGTATAGGAATGCTGTGATGGTCATATAATTGTGGAGACCAATCATGAGCAACATTTTTCAGAACATTATAACTTTAAATGGTTGCTACACAAATGGTTATTAGTTGAGGATCACAACAAACCAAACTAGTAAAGGAAAAATACTAATATCAGGTAAAATGAAAATGTGAAAGTTAGTGGGAAAAACACTAAGTAGTAGGTAAAAGAGTATAGTTAAATTCAGAAATTAAAGATTGTCGAGTCTTATACTGTGTATAGAAAAAAAAGTATTAACTGTATTATAGCAAGGATTCTACATTGTTATTCATAGCATTTGGACAAAGTACAATTAACTACTGTGCTAGAAACTTCAAAAATTGTATTATTCAAGATAAATGAATGTTCTCATCAGATCAGCAACAATAATTGCCTAGAGCTTAATCATGACATTGGAAATTATTGTTCAATTTCCAACTCTGTTATTCTGTTCTAGATGACTTACATTCTATTCTTATTCTATATATCCCTTCTTCTTTATCTTCACGGCTCGTGGTCTGCACCCTTTACTATATTTAGCGCGCGATGCACATATCGTCTGCTGGGCGTGATACTGAAAGACGCCACCAACCTCACCCTGCGACCGCCTTTACCACCGTAAACCGCCGCCATCTTCATTTCCGTAGCCTCTGTTGCCTCTTCAAACTCATCCAAGTCCCTTTTCCCCCTCCCTCCAGCACCGATGGCCACTCAAAGGAAAGGCGGTAAACACATCGATGAAGAGGGAACGAAGCGGAGCCGTGGCAATTTCTCCAATCACAGCAGGGAAAAACGGCCGAGCGTCCAATGATATTAGGCTGCCGCCATCCAAAATGAGTCCGGAAGGGAGGCGGAAGCCGGAACAATAGTTCCGCCAGTCTGATGACAGTCAAGAGTCGCGAGTTTCTTTTGCTTCTTTAAGGTGGCTGATTCTGGTAGATAGCCGTGGATGGCTCGACGATTATGTTTGGGGGGCCGGGAGAGTTCGGAATATCCGCGGCGAGCGTCTCCTTCAGGGGCGTCCAGAACTGCTTTCTACATTTGCCAACCGGGGTGGTTTCCTACCTTCGACTGCAGCAGGTAGAGAAATTCAGGAAGGTGGCTGCAGATATCCATTCCGGGATCGCGCTCTTTTTTCACGGCGCCCAGTTTTCGATTTCATGATTACTGAAGTTCAAGTGTCCATTCACATTTACAGTATACTGTTCGTAGAAACTTCTGTCTATACTTCAAGTATGCGGCTGTTAGCACTTTAGAGCCACAGAAGGGGACTGGCTCAGTATTTGTAAATAGCAATGGATCAAGCCCAGTATTTCCTAGCGAACCACAGACAACTACAAAGATCTAATACATATCGATTTTACAGAAGACAATGTTGAAAAAGCACTATACAATCTAAAACCATCTCTATCTATTGGACCGGACGGAATATGTGCCTACTTCTTAAAAAAGCTATCCACTGCCATAGCCGAAACTCTAAGCATAATCTTTGAAAAATCAGGACCAGCTCCTTGCCAAAACTATGGTCACAAGCCACGGTCACCCCCATTTCCAAAAAGGGAGACCCCAGCCTAGTTGAAAATTACAGACCAATCTCCTTATGCTGCGTCATCTGTAAAGTCATGGAATCGATTATTAACCAATCCATTATCCTCCACTTAGAGACAAACAACCTACTCTCTAATAAACAATTTGGTTTCAGAAAAAAACTATCCTGTAATCTGCAACTCTTACACTGCAAAAACATATGGACTACACAACTCAATCAGGGCAAAATAATAGACGCAATCTACATAGATTTCTGTAAAGCATTTGACAAACTACTCCTAAAACTAAAATATTATGGTATCTCTGGACAACTGTATAACTGGATAGAAGCATTCCTGTCAAACAGACAACAAATGGTCAAAATTGGGAGTGTCCTATCAAATTCTGTACCTGTTAATAGTGGTGTCCCCCAAGGCAGTGTTCTAGGACCAACTCTTCATACTCTACATAAATACCCTCTGATCATATTAAGAGCAACTGCGTTCTCTTTGCTGATGATATAAAGCTGTTCAATACCACAGGCAATACTGCTGCCCTTCAAAAAGAACTTGACTATATCAGAATGGTCAATAAATGGCAACTTTAAATCTCAACAAATAAATGCTCTGTCTTACATATTGGCAAAAAAATCAGAAAATAAAATACAAGCTGAATAGTCAAGACCTTGTTGATGATCCAAACTCTGTCAAGGACCTTAGAGTACTCATCTCTAATGATCTAAGTGCTAGAGCCCACTGTAACTACATAGCCAAAAAGGCATTAAGAATTGTTAACCTAATCCTATGTAGCATTTTCTCTGGTAATATTACACTAATAACTAGAGCACACAAAAAATTTACTAGACCAATACTCGAATACAGCTCATCAGTCTGGAACCCGCATTATGTATCTGATATTAACACAGTTGAGAAAGTCCAGAAATATTTCATAGGAAGAGTTCTCCCCTCCTCTAATCATTGCAGAATACCTTATGCCACCAAACTCAAAATTCTAGACCTAGAAAACCTAGAACTATGCCGACTTCGGTCCGATCTAAGTATAGTATATAAAATCATACATTGCAATGTCCTACCTGTCAATGAATACTTCAGCTTCAACCATAACAACACTAGATCAAACAATAGATACAAACTCAAGGTTAATCGCACCAAACTTGATTGCAGGAAATACGACTTCAGCAACAGAGTGGTCAATGTCTGGAATACTCTACCAAACTCTGTGGTTTCTTCCCCAAACCCCCAAAACTTTAACCTTAGACTGTCTATTATTGACCTAACCCCTTTCCTAAGAGGTCTGTAGTGGGTGTGCATAAACGTACCAACGTGCCTACCGTCCCTGTCTTCTTGTTTCTTTTACTTTTCTTATACATTTCATGTATTCATAACTATGTATATACTTATACCTATTAACTTGTAAGTGATTGACAAATCAAAATAAATAAATACAAATAAATAGGATAAAAATGGCTAACTTATCAGAATAACAGAGTTGGAAAGGACCTTGGAAGTCTTCTCATCCAAACACCTGCTCAAGTAAGATGACCTTTATCTTCTTCATTAGCAATACTAAAATAAATACAGTTAATTGCTGGAGCCAAAAAGGAGATTTGCAGCCATGCCTATGGAGGTTTCTTGACATTACGACAGAAATTATATGTTTTTGCCTTTATCTGAGGATGTTCAGTATCATCTGACATAGGATGGCTTGGTGCACTCCTATCTAAGTATCATCTGATCTTGCTAAGTATTTTGTTTTAAAAAATCTGTCAATAGTAGGTGCTGCTGCCCACTGAGGATTACTTGCATATGACACCAAATGTCATGAAGGGGAAGGTGGTGTTTCATTGCTATATTTTTCAAGCATTGCGGTACTGACAATAATATGAAATTAATTTCAATTTTCTACAGCTATTAAAGGAACAGTTTAAATCAAATATTACACATTTTATCTCCCCCCCCCCCTCCAATAAGGCCTGTTGTTTTCTTGTAGCACACACTGTTAAAAACAAGTTTTTTATCATTTGGAAAAATATCTTGTAATATCCATGAGATGGTAACTAGTGCTGTGTAATATTTATCATGGGTGGACTGTGTTCTGCATTAGCTTTATACATTTTCTTAAAACAAAAAACTACAGCTGAAATTAACAAACTAAACACCATCAAACTATTGACCCTCTGTTCCACTGCATTAGTTCAGTGCTTGCAGAAAGAATTCAGGTCTTTGGACCTTCCAAAAGACTACCAATTTCCAGATCACTGACAATTGAAGCTGGTCTTGTAAAGGCTGAAGCTGGCAAAATTAAGAAGCGTGAAACCAGACAGAACTATTAGTAAAGTATGATGTAGCAATTTGCACTTCCAAGACTGAAAAATATGCAGGTGTCCACTATATTTGAGGGTGAAAAATGAGCAGCATGAACTCTATTAGCCCATAAAAGCAGAAAAAAAATATAAAATTCAAATCCTGGGCATTTTATAAATAGAGGGCTTGATTGCTTGCTTGATAGCTTGGGGTCAGTCACTCTTGCTGTTGCAAGGAAAACAGGAGGAGGAGGAAGAGTGTTAGATATGTTTGAGTTATATGTTACAAAGCTGGGATAAAATGCTAATAATAATGAGTTGGTTAAGATCACCTTTTGAGGCCTTCTGATACGCAAAATCAATGGAGAAGCTGGATTGACTTTACAACTATGTTAGTAACTTAACTACTGTTCTGTCTCTTTCACAGAGGTAGATTTATAGCTGTGCAGATGCAGATAGATAACTCAACAAAGCTTCCATAACAAAGTTCATTTATTGGTACATCAGGTATCTTCATAACTCATATTTGTGATGAAGTTCTTCTTTAATGACCAATCCTTTGTATATCTGCCTTGTACGTGAAAGATGGTTATCTCCTAAACCATCTCATAGAGATAGAAGGAAGATGCCACGAGGTGGAAAGTTCAGGCAAAGAATGAGAAAAACTCCCTTAACCCACCAAGAATCAATTCAGTGACCAATCAGGATTACAGATGTAGCCACGTGAGATGAACTACATTTCCCAGGATACCTTTAACTACATTTACCATGATGCATTCCGTTAAGGGGACAGCTCACAGTTCCTAAGTAACTATCCAACTCTCATAGACTGGCTGGGACAGCACAACTATAGTGATTCACTTAACAACTGTGGCAAGAAAGGTTGTCAAAGGGGGCAAAACTCACTGAACAAGTGTCTCATTTAGCATTGGAAATTTTGGGCTCTATTGCGGTCATCACCTGGTTACCTGTATCAGGATTTGCTAAATCATGTTTTATTAAAAATTTCACTTTTGGCAAATGATATTTTGTTTCTCTAGTCTGAACTATATTTATATTGCAGAGCTCAAACCATGCATACTTTTCTTTGATGAATTTGATTCTCTTGCTTTTGGAAGAGGAGGTCACGAATACACTGATGTAACTGACCGAGTTGTAAATTAACTGTTCACTCAATTTGATAGTGTATAAGTCAGTGGTGGGATTCAATTTTTTTTACTACTGGTTCTGTGGGCGTGGCTTGGTGGACATGGCAGGGGAAGGATAAAATCTCCAGTCAGAGGTGGTATTTGCCGGTTCTCCGGACTACTCAAACTTTCTGCTACCGGTTCTCCAGAACTGGTCAGAATCTGCTGAATATCACCTATGGTATAAGTTTTAAAAGATATGTCCAAGACCAATCATAAAAGCAAAGTAAAACAAAAATGGTAAATAAAACAATAAAATTACATTGTTAAAAATTTGAAGGAACACTAGGTTCTGGAGATCATGGTTATTGATAAAAACTCTGCAACCTTCTGAGAGTTTAATTACATAAAGGAAAAACATAACTCTCATAATCAGAGAAACAGTTCAAATTATTGACAACAAGGATTATGAGTGAGTTTTCATCCCTTTTTGTATATATAATGGGCATTTGAATAAAATAATTGCAGCTTTCATACATAAATTTGGTGTATCTGCTAGTTAATACTCCAGTTAATGTAATCAGCTATCTCCTGTGAGTAACATAGGGTATTAAAAAAAAACTCAAGATAGTTAAGGTATGTGCATGAGATTACACTATAGAAAAGATGGGAAACACTGATTCAGTTTAAATGTCAAACTCCTAAATTCCTCTGCTTCATTTCAGGATGTTTTATCCATGCCAAAGGCAGACAGTGCTGGCAAAACACATGCAGAATACACTGTGTGCCCAATTAGACAAGTATTTTGGAAGATTAATTTTATTATTGAAAAACTACAGTGCTCTCGATCAATTGAAAATGTTAATAAACCTCATATAATAAACCTGAATATTTAAGAAATTAAAAGTGAGGTTTTGGTTTTCTAAACAGAATATCAACATGTGCACAGTTATTGGGCAACTGTTAGTGTGCAGAATTATTATGTAACCATATTAAAATTTGTCCATCTCATTTATTTGCATCCATTAAAGTGAGAATAATAAACAAACAACTCAAAATGTACAAATAAACATTTCTGACATTTCAAAAAAAAAATCAGTGATAATATAGCCATCTTCTTTTCAATAACAGTAACAGTAAGCTTTCCATTCATGAAGTATGTCAGTTTCTTGATCTGTTGATGATCAACTTTTTGTGCAACAGCAACCACAGCCTCCCAGACACTGTTCAGAGAGGTGTACTGTTTTCCTTCATTGCAAATCTCCCATTTAAGAAGGGCCAACAAGTTCTCAATAGGGTTTAGGTCAGGTGAGGAAGGGGCCCCTGTCATTATTCTTTCTTCTTTAAGGCCTTTACTGGCTAGCCACACAGTAGAGTATTTCGATGCGTGCGATGGAGCATTGTCCTGCATAAAAACCATGGTGTCCTTGAAAGATGCAGACTCCTATACCACTGCTTGAAAAAAGTGTCTTCTAAAAACTGGAAGTAGATTTGGGAGTTGATTTTGAATCCATCTTCAACCTGAAAAGGTCCAACTAGATCATCTTTAATAATACCAGCCCATACCACTACCCCACCTGCACCTTGCTAGCATTTGAGTTGATGTCTCTGTGTCCATTACTGATTCAGCTGCATACCCATCTATTTGGTCCATCTCATCACTCCATAAAACCTTTGAAAAAAATCTAACTTCAGATATTTCTTGGCCCAATCTTGCCATTTCAACTTACTTGTCTTGTTCAGTGGTGGTCGGGTTTTATTCTTCCTTACCGTGGCCATGTCTCTGAGCACTGAACACCTTGTAATTCTAGACACTCCAGGTACATTGCAGTTCTGGAATATAACAGTGTTGGAGGATAATGGATTCCTGGTAGCTTCACGTTTGATTCTCAAATCTTTGATAGTTAATGTACATCTGCCCCACCAATGCCGAGGTCAACATCCAAGCCATCGCTGCCCGCCCACCGGAGGATGCATGGGGGGGATTAAGTCACTCTAGCTGTTTTTTCGGGGGTCAAAAAAAGAAAAGGCCTGGCCTTATTTTGTGAGAAACACGGTAGATCCGCAGAAAGAAGCTGAAACATGCCCATCTTGCTTCAGTGGGTGTTAGAAAACATTCTTTTAAGTGAGTGTTTCTCAATCTCAGACCTTTTAAGATTTGTGGACTTCAGCTCCCAGATTTCTCCAATGAATAGGCTGGTTGGGCAATTCTGGGAAACATACGCCAGACATCTTAAAAGTTTTAAATTGGGAAACACTCCTATATGTTTTTCTTGCAGCTGAAATTGTTTACTTATTCCCAGATCTTTACACTATTGAATGATTTTTACCTATGCCCTCATTACAAAGATACAAGATGTGATACTGATGTGGTGCTTTTTGTAAACATTATTTTACATCCAAGTTCATAGGAAGTGTAGATCTTCACTTTACAGATCTGAGCTCTCTTTTGAATCTCCCGCGATTTAAAAAAGAGAGAGAGAGAAGAAATGAACATTGCGTCCTCTCACAATTTTGGCAACCCAGGGGACTCTAGTCTTTTCGCGGTCGCATTCATTCTCCTACATTTACTCCATACAGCATTTTAACTATTCAAAGATTGGCTTCGAAGGGATCAGAGAAAAAAAAAATAGGAAGAAAATCATACTGCCGCAGCACATAACTAAACGGCCGGTTTCTTTTTTACAGGGCAAACAAGGAAGGGCAAACAAGGAAGGGCGTGTGGCTTCAATGTCTGCCACTGTACAGGTTAGGTGCCACTGAGCATGCTCCGTAGTATCTGATGTTAAAAACTTGACGGGTAGCAGAGAAAGGGGCTCCACTAGGCCGGTTTGGTTTTCGTCGCTGGGGTTCCAGGATTCCTGCACGCAATGGGGAAAAGGGATAACCGGGTGGTGCGTAAGCTAAGTCTCTCTTCTTACAAGCGCTATCGAAACGGCAAAGGTTTCGAAGGAGGGACACAAGCCTTTCTTCCTGGCCTGGGCGGGGATAATGGACTAAGAGGGAGACGGTGGCTATGCGACCACCTTTGAAATTGGGGGGTGGGTAGATAGCTGGCATCGGAGAGTATATGTAGGGAACAGCCAGTGTCTGTCAGAGACATCCTGCAGACCTTTCCTCATTGCATTGACAAAAGGATTGAGCTACTAAAAATGCAGTAGTTCTGGTTGTCATGGGCTTGATAGTCGTTTGAATGGGAAAAGTGGGTGGCTGTGAGAGGGATTTTGGGGTTTTACACATGAAACATTTCTCCCTCTGTCATAAAAGCAAAGTAGTAAGTTGGGCCCCTCTGTAGATGTAGATCTAGTGAATTTTTCATCTCAATTATGTGATGAGATTGAAAAGTTACCTGTTTTTTTTGGGGGGGGGGTGTTAATAAGGGCATTGTCTGATCTTATGAATATACGGAGTGCGCCTGTATGTTTTTCAGCATTAGGTCTTTAATTGTAAAATAATCTGAATCCTGCGTTTTTGTATTTCAAAACTTACGTCCAGTGTTTTTCATCTTGTGGTTTTTGTTTTGTTTTGTGCTTTAAGATGAATTAATTATCACATCAAAATATATATAGATCGTTTAGGGTAGACTTGAGGGACATACTTATATATCGAGCAGTAAGATATATCCAAAAGAGAAGTGGAAAATGAAAAGTGCAAAAAGCGTCTGTCTATTGAGTGTGCTTTTTAGAAATAAATGTGCTTATCCTTATTTGCCAATTTGAAGAGTCTATGATCCCTGCTTTTGTTAAATTCCTAAGAATACACTGAATAAAACTGCATTGCATATGTTGCTCTTAGGACCAGAAAAGCACTTATCAAACTTAGTACACTGAGAGTGAAATGTTAAAACGGGGGGGGGGGGGGGGGAAGTTTCTTATTTCTCTCTGTGAATAATCTTTGTTTTTTGAATAAATACAGGCAGTAATAAATCCATTATAAAACTTTAAAGCAAAGATTTGTGCGCTAACATTATAGATGACATGTTTTATAGGCAGCCTGATGTCTCAATTTGTATAAGTCAAACTCTGCCTAAAATAAAACTTCAAGTGTTTGTTTATATATTAGCTTTCAAGGGTCGCTTTGAGGTTATTTTATTTAAGCCAGAAAAAAAGATTGGGGGTGGGGGTGGGGGGGACAGAAAGCAAAGAAACTCCCCAAAGATGGGTTTTTATTCAGAGTTGGGTCTGAATTTGATGTTTCAATTCTGATTGCTTATCAAGGCCCATAGCACCATACAGTTGTGTAGAATCCAGAAACTAATATTTATTTTTTATTTATTCTAGAAAAACATTTATCTGACATACATTTAAAACAAACAAATTATATATATATAATTTATATATATACACACACATACACACATACATACATACATACATACTGTACAATTTACAACATATATTGAGCAATGGTTTTTTTTTTCTTTATTATTGACGTGATCTGCCTTGTTACAATAACTCTTTCATTCTTTTAATGTTTTAATTTCTCAATATAGTTTATGATTAAATGCACATCTGTCATTTCCATAACTTATCCAAATATTTTCTTTAACCACTCATATCAAATGTTCCATATTTCATAATAGTCACTATCTTGTTTATTTTTTAACAGTTTGGTTAGACTATCCATCTCAGCGCATTCATGTATTTTTTTAATTACCATATCCTCTGAAGGGATGGAAGGCAGTTTCCAGTTTTGTGCGTATGTTCTGGCCGCAGTTATGATGTGCAAAATTAAATATTGATATTTTTTTTCTCCATGTTTGAATCTATCATACTTAGCAGAAAGGTTTCGGGTTCAAGCTTTAAATTTTGTTTTGTTATATTTAAAATCCAATTTCTAATATTTCTCCAAAACTTCTGAGCACATGGGTAAGTCCACCACATATGAAAATATGTTCCTTATGCGTAGTTACATTTCCAACAATTGGGTGGTAGTTTGGGGAACATCTTGGCTGGTCTTATATAAGTTTTCTTTATACGAGGCTGACGTGGTTAATTTGTAATTTGTTTACCAAATGTGTTCCCACTTATCTAATTCAATACTATGACCCATTTTCTAATTCAACCCAATCCTTAAGCCAGTTTACCATAGCGGCATCATAATATAATCCAAAATCTAGAAGGCCAAATCCTCCTTTTTTCTTGGCATCCTGTAATAATTTATATTTCACTCTGGGTTTTTTCCTCTGCCATATAAATTTAGATATACATTTGTTTAATTCTACAAAAAAATTCTTTTCCAACTTGACTGGCACTGTCTGAAACAAGAACAACAATTTTGGCAAAATATTCATTTTTACTATCGAAATACATCCCAATAGAAACTGCAATTTGGCCCAATTATCTAAATCTTTAACTATTTGCGTTATTAACTTATCATAGTTATCTTTTTTAATCAACGAACATCTAGCAGTCAACCAGATCCCTAGGTATTTTACTTTATTTATCCCCTGCATACCTAGTTTATTTGTTAGTTCTTCCTTGTGCTCCTTTGTACAGTTTTTTGTTAACACTTTTGTTTTTTCTTTGTTAATTTTTAACCCTGCCACCTTTCCGTATTCCTCTATTTCTCTTATAGGGCTCGCTTCTAAGGGATCTTCTAATATAAATGCCATATCATCGGCGAATGCCTGGAGTTTATATTCCTCTTTTTTAATTTTTAGTCCTCTAATCTCTTTGCCTAATTTGTACTAAGACAGTCTTTTATGCCAATATATACAATAGAGGAGCTAAGGGGCAGCCTTGTCTTACTCCCTTATTTATCTTTATGTATCTGTATTTTCCCCATTTATTAATATTTTTGCGGTTTGCATGTTATAAATTGTCTTAATAAATCCTATAAAATTTTCACCAAATTTCATGCCTATCAATTGTTTAATAAGGAAGTTCCAATTCAGGTTGTCAAATGCCTTCTGGGAGTCTAAAAATATCAATGCCATTGTCTTGGTTGAGTATACTTCATAATATTCCAATATATCCATAATGGTTCTTATATTTGTTTTTATTTGCCTATGGGGGAGGAAGCCATTCTGATCAGTGTGGATAATTCTACTTAATACTCTCTTTAATCTTTCCGCCATATTGTGGTCATTATTTTGTAATCTACATTTATTGTGGCCATTATTGTGGCCATTATTTTATAATCTACATTTAAAAGTGATATTGGTCTATAGTTTTGAATTTTTTGTGGATCTGATTGTTCTTTATAAATAAGGATAATATATGCTTCCATCCATGAAACTACTCATATTAAATGACTGGTAGGTCAAAATGTTAATGTATGTAGGAAACAATATGAAATGAATATTGACAATATACATAGGAAACCATAACATCTATATTAAATCATGAATGCCTTATCAGTAAAAAAATAGCATTGATACAAAAAGGATGATTTCTCATAAGTTTCATGATAACCTGCTATTAAATCAGTAATGAATAGCATGCCCTAGGTATGCATGCTGAATATATATGTATATATCCAGGATTACATTTGCATTCAATAGCTTCATTACAAATTAATATCCTAATAATTCTTTTATTATCTTTTTAATTAAAAAAATAAGATTAAGAGATGGCAATATTGAATTTTTTTTTCTTTTACTTTACTACAAACTTCTTCACTGAAGGTTTCTAACAATGAAAATACACATTTGGGATTGCATAGGGAGGTAGGAATGTCAGAGATTTGAAAAAGCGGTAATGATTTAGGTAGGAGTGTTTGTCTATACTCTCATTTTATGCTATAAGAAATTAGTCATCTCCACTCCAGCTTTCATTTCATATATAAGATACTACATTTAATTAGGTCCCATGTTTTAAGAGTGTAACTAGTTTTTAAAAGATCATCAAAAGTTGATGTTGTAACATAGTGAAAGGAAAGGAAGGAAATGTAGGAGCAACATTCATTCTCTCTCTTATATACTATCTTCTCTTAGCAAGCTTAGTGATAAATTTAATAGTCTTAATGATACCATAATATTTATTTTGTTGCTTTGATCCTTTAATAAGAATATTACAGTATTAGTTGATCCTCTGTTAGTTTCGCACAATTTTTCTTGAGCAGAATTATTTCCCAGAATCCAATTGTACGCAGCTTTTGCTGAGGCAAATTAAAAGTAAGAAATATCCCAGCATACTGCCTCCCCACTCCCAAGTGACATAACCATACAGAACTTAACTGTATTTCATTAATCACTGATAGGGTTTTTATATAAATATATTACATTTATTTATACAATATATAAAAGTTTGAATAGTACATATATAACATTTAAATATTAGTTTTTTATAACAGTTGGGGAAGAAGCAGGATACATCACCAAAAAATTAAGCCCTGTCGGTTTCCAATACATTAAAAATTATATCAAGTTGGTAACTTATGTAGGCTAGCTAAATGACAATATATCATTTGTTAAAATTAATAGAAAAAAAGTTATTTTTAGGGGTTGCAGATTGGAATAATTTAATGTTCTCTCTTTCTTTGTCATATTTAAGGCATACATGAATCCTATAGCAATGGCTAGATCACGAGGTCCTGCTCCGTCTTCAGGACCTACAATACAAGATTACTTGAACAGACCAAGGCCAACATGGTATGCTACAAATGATAATTTTGTTCCTTTTATGAGATTACTTTATTAAGAAAGAAAAGTAGTAAAGTTTGCCTTAATGTAATCCCTGTGCCCCAAATTAATAGATTGGTTCACATATGACATTAAATCAGGAAATAGAAAATGGAGTTTGAAGTCCCTATGTAGGCTACCCCCCATTCTGGCTTTTGGGACTTATCCAAATGTGGATAGGCCCCAAATTTGGATCATTTTTTCACATTTTGTTTTTTGGGGCAAAATGAAACTCTTTAAGACTTACAGATGCTTTAAGGCTTTTACCAGCATCTTCTAAATTAATATTTTTAGATCTAAATGTATATATCAGTTACAGATTATGTATTTTTCATTAAAGGGAAGAAGTAAAAGAACAACTAGAAAAGAAGAAGAAAGGTTCCAAGGCCTTAGCAGAATTTGAAGAAAGAATGAATGAGGTTTGTTATTTGATTAATGTAGAGACAAGCCTATATTGTACATCTGTATTATTATTAGTATTAACATACTAATTAAATTTCAGTTTTATGCTAATAGATATATTCAGTATTAATAGCTTCTCATGCAGATGCATCAAAAGATCCAATGCAAACGTGATTAGCAATAAAAATAAATGTTCTACCGTGTTAGCTTTCAGTGATTGCAGATCTAATCCAGCACATCTTAGATTAATAATGCTAATATTATTAATTAATATTAATGAGTAATGCTAGCATTATCAATCATGAATATTTATTATTAATAATGATGATGATTAATAAAGATGTGATTGGATATTCAGCTCTTAACAGTGATTGAACATTAGGCACCATAAGTACTTAAGGTTGGCCATAAATGTTAAGCATATTAGTCCACTAGATTAATAAAGATAGTTTTAACACAATGAGAAAAGCCACATTGCTGCTGTATCTAAGATACACAAGCAAAAATGCATGTGTTCTCCTCATTCTTTCTGTGGCATCCAATAAATTATAAGGGGCTAGGTTGCAGTACTGACTACCTCTGTAATGAAGCCTAGTAGTACATTCTATTAAAAAGTGAACAGGAATCTGGCAGCATATCTTCCATATATATAAAAGCGAAATACCACTCACGCATCACCATGAAATTTCCAGAACCGTAAGGCCTACAAACTTGAAATTTGCAGCATATGTTCCTCTTGGCTTCTAGATGCTCACTAAGAAAGGATTGTTTAAAATGACCATCAGATCATTAGTATTTCTTATATTATTATTAACATGCTCTGATGCTAAGGAGTTCTACTCTTCCTCCCCACCTGAAAAGAAATCTGTTCTAACTGCCACTTGGGCGTGACCAGCACGTGACTCACCCGGCCTGCGGGCTGGGAGTTTAGACATTCTATTCCTCCTCCCCATCTGAAAAACACTCTGATACTAAAGAGTTAGACATTCTACTCCCCCTCCTCACCTGAAAGGTAGAGAAGGGAATAGGAGAGGATCAATGGGGCCAGCCTGAGGGAGAGAAGGGTATAAGATAGGAGAGGCCTCTGTGGGGCCAGCCTGAGGGAGAGAAGGGGATTGGAGAGGATCAATGGGGCATGCCTGAGGGAGAGAAAGAGGGGCCAGCCTGGGGGAGGGGAATAGGAGAGGAGAGGCTTCTGCAGGTTAAGCCTGAGGGAGAGAAGGGGAGCGGAGTGGCCGATCGTAACTACTCATTAATGTTCAAGCTTTAACTGTCAATTTATCAAATCCGATCACATAGTTCCATAGTGAAGCATGGATATCCAACCGACTAGTAAATTATATAAATGAATGGATTCAATGAGATTTCGTTCCAGGAGAATGTATATAGAATTCCAATTTAATGATTTCAAACAAATTTCCCATCTCTGGAAATAGGTTCTTATGAGTTAATGATCATAAAGGCAATCCAAAGGGTACTTGAGAAAAACTCATAATTGTTTCAATTGTTTTTCAGAACTGGAAAAAAGAACTGGAAAAACATAGAGAGAAATTGTTAAGTGGAAATGAGAGCACTTCAAGGAAGAAAGAGGTAAGTGCCTTCATATGTGCACTCCGTGTGGAACTAGGGATTTGAAGTTTTCCTGTTGCAATAGTCTTTGCTTTAAGTACGTTATTGTGGCTGTTATAATAAAATATACTTCAAAAATGTTAACCATTCAAACATATTAATGGGGAAAAATCCTTTTTTTAGAAGAAGAAAAAAGAGAAGAAGAAATCCAGTAGGGTGAGCAAAGATTTCATTTATTTTTCAACACCTAAGATATAGTTTATTTAAATGGGAAAGGGTGATTTTTAGATTTTTATTATAAATGTTTAATATTGGTTTTTAAATGCAGGTGATGCAGCTTTGGATAATATCCATAAATTTGAGGGGTAGGGGTTAACTTATTCTGTTGACAAATTCTGCATCTCACAAATTTACGTTTTGTTATCTTTGGTCAAGTTATCTCCATCTTCCTCTTCCTCATCAAGCTCTGATTCTTCCAGCAGTTCATCTGATATTGAAGATGAGGTAAGACTGAATTATAATTTTCTATAATTTCGTATTCAAAATGGGTGTCTAAATAAAGGAGAAGCAGTATCATTTTCATTGAAATGTCAGAAATCTTTTAAGGAGCTGGTTTTTAAAGCCATTTGAAGGGCAGGGCATCCCTACGTTTGTTGACTAGTACCAGATTCATTATATTCTTCTGCTGGCTGAAGTGAGAGTAAATGTCTGTCACTGCTATTCTCTGAAAATTTGCTCCAGAGAATTAAAGGAACATGAAACTGTACCTTGTTTTTCCTCTTCATCCTGTAGGGGAAAATTTTCCTCCTGCAACAATTGTCTGTGAAAAAGCAAGGAACCACTCATGTAGCTTAGGAAGGAGTACTCTTATGAAATCCCACTACCTCTTTTGGTGCTAAAAATGAGAGAGAAAGCATGTATCTATTTCTGATTCCCGTCTGTTACTTGAAAATACATTTAGTTCATTCATTTAATGGCAGACATGACTGTGCTAAAACCCAAGCTTTCCTGTATCTTCTGTAACTGGATAATGTAGGAAGCTGATGCATATCCATACATCAATGGAAGTGAAAGGGAGATGTGTTTGTACACATTTTTTACTTTCACATCAGAAACAACTTGTGCTATTTCTCAAAAGACATTAACACAACTTTAGTGAATACCAGCAAAAATGAACAACTTTGTAGAAAAAAAGGAAAGTGTTGAAATGAAACTCTTCTAATACATGTATTTAACAGGCAATTGAATTTCTAAAACACAATGCATCATTGTTGAGGACTCTCCTATTGCAGTAGACAAGTGTGGACCATTTAAGGATCCTTACAAGACTGAATTTTTAGCAGAATGACAAGATGCCCTGAACCATTATAAAAATAAACATTCTTAGTAGAACGATTTATTACATCACAAATCATTATGAATTAATAGTAGAAGGGATTCTTTTCACAAAAGAATTGTAGATTTTATTGGTTTCCTAGTCATGATTTTAGCATGCATATGTGGTAGGAACCGGTATAGCTCTCTTGAAGAAAAACATTTGGAGGAATCTTGAAGGAAACATTTATTTAGTCAGAAAGATAAGTATCCTCTCTCCTTATCAATTCTCTGCCTTCTGATATTCCTGAGCAGAGAAGAAGTAGCAGTTGAGATTCTAATACAGAAGGTACTCATGTTAGTTCCAACCCCTTTTGGCATTTCACAACACAGAATTGTGAAGAATAAAGAAAATTCCTCTTTGATCTTTAGTAAAAGCATTGGTATGTAACTATTTGACATAAAGTAAAGGTTGTATAAAAGGATATGAGGAGTAAAAGACTTTAGGTGCTGTAGTTCAAATTGTTCAAAATTATCAAATCAGTAGGGCTTCTCTGAGGCTGATAACTATTAACTAGGCAAGATTTGTTCATGAATCAGGACTTTTGATTTTTAAAAAAAAATTATTTGCCTTTCTGATGTTGATTGAAATCATAGTTCCAAAGTATGAACAATTATTATCAGAATGTTTCGCCTTTTATTTTTCATTGAAGTAATATAATAATTGATAAAAATAATCTAAATTGAATTTTGCTCTTTTTACAACTGGAATATACTATATTAGTTCAGAATAATTTATATTGAGCTTTTGAATAAACACTGAATTACTATTAACTTTAAACCCTGCTTCCATTTAATTTATAAAATTTTCATTTTAAGAATATTTTTAGCTTTATTTGTTTTTCTCTGAAAAAAATTTTTCATGGCTTCGTGACCTTTGAATTCAGTCAGTCACAATATTAAAATATTTCTGATTCAGAAATCAGAATATTAAAATATTTGATAAAGAATTATTAAACAAAGGCATTAAACAGAAATGCTGTCATTATCTTGAACATAGAGAAATGGGAAGGAAAAATCCAGTTATTCCTATGGCTAGTTGTTAAGAAAATGCATTTATACTTTATGTCTGAAATGAATTAATCTGAACAAAATCTAATAATTTTCTTATCATATTCATGATTAGGATAAGAAACAAGGAAAAAAGAGAAAGAAAAAAAAATATCACACCTTACAGAAGTCATCTGAAAGCTCTAGTTCAGACTCTGATTCAGATAGCAAGGTAAAGTAAAAAAAATAGTATCCTTACCTAATTTATGAACTATTACATTGGTTAGACTGCACTAGTGACAGAAATGCATATGTGGAATATGAATGAAATTTGGATCTCTGCTTTGTTCTAAACTGGCACACTGTTTGCTCGTATTTGCTCTATTGCAACAGTAATACAGTACATATACTGTATGTTTTATTTTTCACTGAAGCTCTGTTTTGATTATTCCATTCCAGAATACCAGTTGCCGTTACTTTTGCATTATTTGCTTACACAGAAGCAAATTTAAGTGTACACTGTCATTAATGCTGTTTTTTTAATCATAATTACTTCTTATTATTTAGGATAGTTTAAGAACTAAACGGACAAAGGAAGATTATGAAAGAGACAAGGTAAAACAATTTCATAGTACTTTTAAAAATTCTTTGAAAATGAATGTCCGATTATAGAATAACTGAATGAAAGTTCCTAGTTGCCTAATTGTAAAAAAGCTCTGAAATTAACAGCTGTTTAGCATTAAAATTGCTAGTTGTTAGGCAAACTAATTCCAAAATCTGATCTTCACATCTGTTATATCAGTTGGCCTGTAAATATTTATTAATTTAATGTAATGTTAAGTATATTATTGCAGTTGGTCACATAATCAGCAATTAATCTTGATTTTGTTCTTAAAGAAATAGCAACGTGAAATCATAACAGCCAGTTCTTTAATTGGTGTTGGCCTTCATTTATATCAAGTTTGTTTCAAAAACGATAGGTTGTCAATATATCAGCATAGTGTACATCCAGATCCAAACAATGTGGTCTTATATAATTAACAAATGAAATTGTCAATATGTAGATTTTCTAAGTACCATTCAAGGCTTTTTGATATGGCACCCAATATCCCTGTAACCATGGGACCACCATTGCTGGTTATTCCATAATCTTCCAATTTTGATTTTTGAATCTTGATACTTTATAATCTTCTCCAATTCTTTGTCTTCTGTTTTACTTTCTTCTGGTATTCTCACATCAATTATCCATACTTTTTTTCTTTTCAACCATAGTTAAATCTGATGAGTTATGTGCCAAAATTTTATATGTTTATATTTTGAAATCATCATTATTATTATTTTGGATTGCAACCAACATCAACTAGATGTTTAGATTGGATTTGGCATTTTTATCAACTTATGAACTCTTTTCTACAGATCTGGGATAGGCAGATGTGGTTAAATGACAGTATTAACGGTACTGTTGCAGGATGTAAGCTACTCCAAGTGAAGTTTTTGCAATTAACTAATGATGACTTTGTCAATGCTGATGGTGTTCAAGTATGTTGCAGGGGTATGGGGATTGCTTTCTTTTGCCATAGTCATTTTACTTCTATTTGCAGGTTGTATTTTGTAATTTTCTCCAGTTGTTTCTCTTCTACTTTGTCTACAGGGATTGCAATGTCCATTATTCAGTCTTTCTAATCAACAATAGTTTATTGTTGCTATTTTGTCATCCTGTTGTTATAAGTCTGCACTGTTTTCCTGCTAACTAAGTGGTTATTGTTTTTTTTCAGCTTCTTTGCAGAGGTAGAATTTTGTTGTCTGTTACTATACAGAATAATTCTGTCTCTTCAACTTTCCTGCTCTTAGCTATTGCCAGGGTTGTTGTTATCTACTTTGCCTTCTTTCTGTGTTTCTCTCTGTCTCTGTTTCTCTGTCTCTGTCTCTCTGTGTGTGTGTGTGCACATGCATGCGTGCAGGCTATGTAATACTTGTTGTGACTATTTACTAGTCTTCAAAGTATTATATGGTCAGTACATTTTAAAAAAGAGCAGATAACAAGACCTGACAATAGCGAAGAACAAGAAAGTTGAAGAAAGAGGGGCTAGTCTTATTCTTTATCAGAGGAAACATGAGTTTTCAAAAGTAACCATAACTATTTTATAAATATTTTATCTTACCTAGGATTCAAAAAGTCTTGTTAGGAAAAGAATAAAAGCAGACCATACGGAAGAATTATTGCCATCAGACTCTTCACTAGAATCGACTGAAACAGAGGAGGTCAGTCTAAATATAAAGCAAAGCATTTACACGATTTTAAAATGTTCACCAGGTTCTCCATTCATATGCATACGTGGAAATATTTGTCCATTTTTCCCATATGTTCTGCTTCAGATGACCATGAATTAAGAGACCCACCAAAGATCTTTCTTACATAGTTATTTCTAGACTGTAGAACTCCAAAATGTTGGCTCTGATGTTCCTGTAAATTTTAGGCATGGCAGCAGGATTAGAAAACAGGAAATCACCAGATAGTACAAAACAGCTATTGGAGAAGTAGTCCTTTTTTCCAAAGTATTATTAAGCAACATTTCTATTGTGGTTGCTATTTCAGTTTTTCAGCCTTTTTGAAAAATGTGTATTCTGTCATTCTTCTTTTCTTCACACTTAGGTACAAGCAAAAAAGAAGAAAAACAGTGAAGAAAAAGAGAAAAATGTAAGCTTATTTTTATCTGTCTAAGAACTCCCTATTTCAATTGTTCTAGTTTCTCGTGACTCTACTGAATCAATAATTGGATGATTTTCGATTATTACATAGTGCACATAAGATATAGATAAATACTTAATCCCCATTAGAGTAAAAGTACTAGTCAGAAAATAGGAGGATTGCAAAGGAGTACAGTGCCTGGAATGTTTGACAGAAATGTGGCATAGAAATCTAATAAATAGATAATGAATACTACAGTATTAAATTTAAATGATTGATTCTAGAGATTTAAAACATATTATTTTTTCCTGAATACAATAGTCCTAAGCAGGTAATCAGAGATAAAGTGAATTAACAAATCAAATTTAATATAGACTATTTAATATAGTCTTGCTAATTTCACTTGGCAATTATGAATTAGGTTTTTTGGAAAAAAAATTTTGATTAATGAAATGTGATATGAGGAATTAAAGTTAGAATTTATACGTGAAGGAAAACAACTCTAGAGATAAATCTGTTGACAGTGCTTTCTGTAAATCTTTTAATAGAGTGGTATTTGTTATTCTTAATTTAGATGGCTTTTTGTGATATTCAGTGGCTTTAATTCTTTCCTTGAAAATGCATTTGGAGAGACAAAACTTGAATTGGAATCAGGTAGTTTCAGTATATAACAATTGTCTTTTGGTATTTCTTTTTAAAGGATAAAACAAAAAAGCGAAAGAAACACAAGAAGCATAGCAAAAAGAAGAAAAAGAAAACAGCAAGCTCAAGCTCTCATCCAAAATACTTAAGTCAGGTTTTTCTTTCATCGAAAGTGCAGTGAGACTATAGATACCATAGAGAATTGCAAATTGTGAAAATTATGATAAAATCTGCCAACTGCATGAGCTCTCCTATGTGTTAACAAATCTAGACATTCAGCTTGCCCAGTACCATTGGGCTGGAAATAGCCATTGTTGTTGCCTGATGCTTAATATACATATAGTACCCTTCTCTAGAACTCCAGTAGCTAATAGGACATTTTGGAAAGAAGCCCTTCCCATGGTTTACATGATTGAGCAGTAGAGTAAAACTGGATGGATGCCAGAAAGTTTTGCCTACTTTATTCAGGGATATGTGCATGTGATCTGATATGCAGATGTCAATCAGCTTCATTGTTGTAATGAATGAGGCAACTCCCCGTGGACTAAGATGCATCAGGAGGCCTGTATCTATAAACCAAAGTTGAATTTGGGTGTTTTATTTTAACAGCCTAGTAGTGAAACTTAATTTTTTATTATAAAGACATTTGCAAAATTCTTCTACAGAATCGAATTTAGCAACTCCTGTGACATTTTATTTTTACTGATACCATTTTTGGAATAGGAACGTAGCATTAATATATACAAATGTTACTTTTTTTAGATATGTGTAATATAATTTTATTCTTGTGTTTTTGGGTTGAAGTTGTTAATTAGAACACATAGTTTGATTTGACAGATGAATCAGTTTTGCTAATATTGTTTCAGTACTTCCCATTATATAAACTGCAGTTTTTTTCTTTAAGAATTTAAGGGGAAATCCACTATGAATTTTCCGAGCATGCCCCATTAAAGTAAATGGAAGTGTGGAAGACTGACTAGGCCAATAATTGTAACTGAGCTGATTATGATAGGCTGTTTTTGTTTACTTTATGTTAATAAACTTTCATCTTTCATGTAATTCTAATGATGAAACATATGCTTGGCTGATGAATGAAATGAAAAGTGGACGTTCTTGCTCCTTTGGGCATGTTCACTTCTAATGTTGGTATTAGGTACAGAGAATAGTGTCTATACTATAGGAACAAGTGAAGATGAAGACTGACAATTCAGTTAGCCTCATTTTAACTTCAGATATAAGACACTATTCTTTTTACATAAGTAACAAAGGGGGAAAAATCTTAATATTCCCCTCTAACTTTTTCCCCACTTTTATATATTCTGCTGGAATAGATAGAAGTATCAATCAAATATAGCACAGCTGACTACTCTTTGTAAGGATTTTATTACAACTGAATTAAAACAATGCTGGGCCTGAGATAGTATGCCTCACCATTATCTAGTGACATTGATTTTAACTATAGTTTTCTGGGGTTTTTTTTTAAACTGTTGTTCTTAACATACTTAGAATTATTCTGCATGATTTTGTATCATTGTTATAACTAATTAAGGAATACAATTATAATCAGTGTTTTAATTATTAACTGTCAGAAATAATAATTTTAAATTATTAACTATGTTTCACAAGCAACATCATGTCATCCTTATCTTAATGTACAGCTGCTGAAAATATTTAGCATGTAAAAAGCTGAACGGTGTTATCAGACAGCTTCATATTGAAACTGTTTTTATTCTATATAAGTTCAGTGGTAGATTTATTTTATAATTATGTCCAAACTGCCAGGCATTTCGTAAAGACAATGTTTTAAAAGTTCTTCTGGTCCGGATTATATGTGTATCATTTTAGCTTCTTTAGCAATAAAGTGTGTACTTTAATAAATACCTCTACATGTGAGACCATAAAGAAGCTGTGATATTCACAGTGAGTATGTACAATTACCATTTTATGTAAAGAGGCATTAAAATTACTGGGTAATACTTGCTTTTTCAGCCTCTTACTAAATAAATGTTTAAGGAGAAAAGGAAGGGAAAAATCATAGGTTGGTGGAATGATTTATATTGTTACTGCTTTGAAAGTTTGTTGTCAACATTTGTTCAAATTATGGCAACAGATATTATGTGAAGACTGTACAGGGTTGATGAACGGTACTTATTCCAGTCTTTGCGCATGCCTAAAAAGGAAGGAAAAACCCTAGATTGGGATGAATTTTTCAGCATTCAAGCAGAATGAGCCCAGTAGTGCATACAAAGTCTTGAAAGAATAGGGTAGTGTATTTTTATAGGATAATACCTTTATGAATGAAGGCAAATATATAGGTATCCCAGGATAATGATGCAAGATCACATCTGAGTCGGTCACTGGGACCAAAGATTTACTCTTCTGAGCTTTCAGATTCATGGTAGAGCCCTGTTCATGGAACTTCTCTCTGCTGGACTATATGCTTTGGGAAATTCTGTAGTTGTGTTTGTGTGGTGCCTACTTATTGACTGATTGGTGTATTGAGGGTTGGGCATTGGCTGTTGTTTCCTTGTGTTGCCAACCTCTCAGATTTTAAGTACTTGATTAGCTGGTGGTAAATCAGCACTCCTGTTAACTGACAAGGGGCATATTTTCCAGGCTTCAGTCATTTCCTTGTATAGCCAATGATCTTAATAGTTGCAAAATTAAATGTGTGTCCTTGTTCATTGCAACGTAAGGATATCAATGAGTTTGAGTTTCCTAGTCTGACGGCTCACGTGGTTAGCTTTTTCCCTATTTGTCCTACATAGTTGCAGGGGCAATCCATGCAGGGGATCCAATAGATTACATTGGAAGTATTTCCCAGCTCCAAGTGAACTTTACAATATTTAATTGTCCTCATATGGTAGCCTCTGGGCAGTATGTGATGCCTACTTGCTGATCTTGGAATTGCATTCTGCTTGCATTCTACTGCTTTTGAAATGTATGGCAACGTAGAGTTGGTCTTTTACCTTCTCTTCACTTTTCTCTCCTTTGCATTTTGTGCAGGCATCTTGTAATAATTGCTTGTGGGTACCCATTATGCTTGAATTGTTCATTCTCTCAAGTTGTTTAGTTTGCTGGGTACTACAGTTCTCTTCTCATTCTCATAGTATTCTGATGCAGGTCTTTTTGTGTAACAGTGGATGGTTATTGTTGAAACTGAGAATGCATGGAGTGGCCTTACGATTACTGCGGTTTTTAGGCTTCCATCTTCCTTCCTGTTGACAGGCACATCTAAAAATGGTAATGGTTTGGCCATTTCTTCCTCCATTGTGAATTTTATTTCTGGGAAGATGGAGTTCAGTAGCATATGGAAGTCTTTCAGTACATTTCTTTTGATGGTGACAAAGGTGCTGTCCATACAATGACACCAAAAGTAGGTGTGTAGTTTTCAAATGCAGTGTTCTAGTTCGCTTAGAACAGTTTCTGCCATGACTCCTGATATCTTTATTACGGGTCAAGTAAAATACTCAGAATAGTGAACATCCCTTTGAATTATGCAGATATCATCAGGCTGTATAGGAAAAAGAGCAGGAAGGATACTGGATTTAAATTTTAAAAAAATTAAAATTAAAAGCCATAATCCCTTTATAAATGTTGAATTCAAATTTGTTTCATATACAAGATTTACAAAATTTGTCAAAATGTAGTTCATACACAAACACGGCATTCGCTCTTATAGGAAATATTAAGTTTGCACTAGAATGTATGCAAAGCAGACTGATCTCCAATGTATCAGGCCGTTATGCTAAATCTGTGTTGCTATCAGATAGCTTTAGACATCAAGGAAAAACAATGTTTATACAGGAGGTTTGGTGGTAATGTACAGTTTTGCAAATATGAACATGTTACAAGTGTGATCTTTTTGAGCCATAAATTGGGCAGAGGTTTGATCTTCAAAATATTTTCACTAATAAAAGCAAATGGTTATACAGAATAATAAAACAAAGATTAAAATCTGATAGAGTTAGGAAATAATTGGCATTTTACATTCAATATTCAGCTTGTAAGTTTTTTTTCTAATTATCAAATGAACAGCCAGAAATGAATCACATGCATTCTAGAAAAACATCTTTCACCAACATTCCTCCATTTTTAAATCTTTATAAATTATTTAATAGTAATTCCTTATCCTGGTCTTCAAAACCTTCCACAACTTGTTTTTGCCTTTTCTCTTATATGATCTTGAGCATGTTTTCTTTTTACCAGCTCCACTAATCATCTGTCCAGAGGCTGGCTATTTTCTCAAAAAGCTATCTTTATTATTTAGTTTCAAACAAATTTGTTTGAATCTCCCTTCAAGAACCTGTTTTAGGTTCTTGGAATTTTTCCTCAAAATTAATCTCTTCTGAATGCTTTGGAACAAACTATTATTTCAATGATCTACTGTAAAGAAACCTAGTATATGTAAATTAATTTTCCCTAGTTTGTGTTTTGTTTTGTGTATCCCTTGTTAAACATCGGATCATTGGCTCCATGGGGGAGTAGAATAGAACAGAACAGAACAAACAGAACAGAACAGAACATGAGTTATTTATTGGCCAAGTGTGATTGGACACACAAGGAATTTATCTTGGTGCAAATGCTTTCAGTGTACATAAAAGAAAAGATACATTCGTCAAGTGTCAAGAACCATCAGGTACAACACAATAGTCCTAAATCAAATCATACTAGGAAACAGTCAATATAAATCATAAGGATATAAGCAACAAAGTTACAGTCATACAGTCACAAGTGGGAGGGGATGGGTAATAAGGAGTGATGAGAAGATTAATAGTAATAATAATGCAGACTTTGTAAATAGTTGGACAGTGTTGAGGGACTTATTTGAGGGAGTGATGGCATTCGGGGAAAAAACTGTTCCTGTGTCTTGTTCTGGTGTGCAGTGCTCTATAGTGTCGTTTTGAGGGAAGGACTTGAAACAGTTTATGTCTGGAATGTGAGGGGTCTGTAAATATTTCACAGCCCTCTTTTTGACTCGTGCAGTATACAGGTCCTCAATTGAAGGCAGGTGAGTAGTAATTGTTTTTTCTGCAGTCCTAATTATCCTCTGAAGTCTGTGTCTGTCCTGTTGGGTTGCAGAACCAAACCAGACAGTTATAGAGGTGCAGATGACAGACTCAGTATAATTCCTCTGTAGAACTGTTATCAGCAGGGAAAAAGTTTTGTAAAAGCCATGCCAACTGGCTACATCATATGTTGACTACTGTCAACCATCCCAGTTTGGTCAGTTAGAAAAGGAAGACTCTCAAATTTATTGTTAGCGAAAATACAATTTACTAAAGCCTACTGGTTACAGAAGAAGCAAAGCTGGATCTGAATTTTCGTGCCGAAAGCATATGGTTAACTTTTCCTTTATTCCCACCTTTCAAATTATCTTTGATTTCCCAATTAGGTGCTAAAAAATTGTTTGGGTAACAGTCTTCGCAGGCTGGATAGTTCTGCATTCCATAATGTGACTTTGAAATGGCTGGTAGTTGTCACAGAACAGCACGATGCCTAGTTCCAATTCCTCTTATGCATCCCCCTTATCCCACCCTGGAGTCCCTGTCCCCCCACTGAATATGGCAGGTTGACAGCAAGCAATGCATGGCATAACAGGATGGTAGATGGCTACCCCTAAAGGAAGGAAAAAAGAGCAATGATTCGTCAGAATTATTTGGGTTTGTTAGGATATTTGTTGTGAAATTTGCGAGTGAGGCAGGATGAGTGCACATGGTGACCATCAATTCACTCTGTCCGAGAACTCTGTTCCATAAAACAAAGTATTGCAGTTTGCCTCTATGGAGGCAGGAATCAAGAATCTCTTTGACTTCAAAATGTTGTTCCCCTTTAGTTAATAAGGGAAGGGGTAATGGTTTTTGTTGTGGGATGCAAGGGGGATATAGTTGCAATCTTCAGAAGGCTGTAGTGGGAACTGGATGGACACTTCTAAGGTTTTTCAGCAATTTCAGCTCCACAATCACTGGGTTTATAACTCTAATGATGGGGAAATGCCCAATGTACTTTGATCCTAATTTTGACATAATTGCTTGGACTGTAGAAATTTGGTGGAGGTATAGTGTATATTTTATCCCCCACTTTGAAATTATTTTAAGGGGCTGTCTTTTTAACAGCATATTTTGTACACCTCCCTTGCCTCCTCTACTGCCTTACAGACAATTGGCCAGGTGTTTTGCAAAGTTTTCACTCAGTTGACTAATGAAGCATGGTGGGGGTTATGTTGAGAGAGTTTTGGCATAGAAGCAAAGTCCAGGCTGGTACCCATACGGAATGACTTAAACGCTGTGCTACTGTGGACAGAATTATTATATAAGATTTCTGCAAGTGGAAAGAGATCTGCCCAGTCATTTTGTTGGTAATTTACATAGCAATGGTTCCAGCAATTCCTATATTCACAACTCCATTAGTCTGAGAGTGGTATGAGGAATTGAGCCCTGGGAGGTCCCCAACAGTTTTAGGAGCTCCTGCCAGAACTTAGATGTAAATTTTACACCCTGATCAGAAATTATTCTGTCTGGGGCCTTGCAGAGCCTATACACATGTTGTGTATAGGGTATCTTGGGAAAGCCATAAAATGGGCTTGTTTGGAGAATACATTGGCTATGACCCAAATCACTGTTGTTCTCTGAACTTTCCAGCAGTTCTGTAATGAAATGCATCTATATTTCTTTCCATAGAACGAGGGACTGGTCACAGGCTGCAGGAAACCGAAGGGCTTGCCAGGGTATCTTTTAGCTAAAGCATCTGTTGGGCAATTGACCACATAGTTCTCATATGCAGCCACCAGAATTGGTGTTTCACAAGGTGAAGGGTCTTTACAAACCCAAAATATCCATCTGTTTTTGAATCATGGTTCTGCTGTAGGACCAAGCTTTATTGACTAGAGGGCACATAAAATCTGGTCCCCATCTATGCCAAGTTGTCTCTCAATGAAAACTTTGTGGAAGTTGAACCATTTGCCCTCACTAGAGCGGTCTTCAGTACTTGTGTTAATTCATCAGATATTTGGCCCTGGGGGCTTTTCTGCACTCTTGTGAGGATATGTAATTGGATGGGATGATGGAATTTATTACTTCTCTGGTTCTGTTGCATTTGGGCATTCTGGATAAAGCATTGGCTAGGAAATTCTTTCCCCCAGGGAAATAGCAGAGAGTGAAATTGAAGTGATTAAAATATTGTGCCATCTCACTTGTTTAGGGGATAATTTCTGGAAGGATCTTGTGCTTCCAAATTTTTGTGATCAGTTCACACCTCGAATGGAGTCTTGCTCTTGATGCACTCTAAAAATTG